GGTCAAATCGCATTCTCATTCCCCAAACCCACCCAACTTGGGGGACTTGATCGGATTCAATTGCACGACCTCTTTCAGTGGCCGTTCACGCTTCTTCTTATCCAAATGCCAGGGTGCAAAAACAAAGTGTTTAGATGAGGTTTCGTATTTGGTCAAGCTTAAGATGTTAATAGGACATGTTATCAGAAGACCCCAGTTTGAGGGGTCCCGACAAACGACACGCAGCTCCTTCTGTTGGCTGGTAGCCCTCCGGCCGAGGTAGCACAACACTCCTGCGAAGGCAAGTCACGGTGCTCTGCTACTTAAAAAGATTGGGGCTCCTATCCCTAGATCAGGTTCCTGGGAGCCAGACAATTCAAGGCAAGTCTGAGCAAGTCTGAGAAGAGGCTTGCAAAAGCAGGTTCCTGTACGCGAATATCGAGCATGCCCGTGAACAAATGTTGCAATCAAGGTGTTGAGAGAATGCATGATTTGAGGAGGCTATCAGGCAAATGGTGAATCCCAGTGAAACCTGGACCTGCAACGGGGATCAATGGGTCGCCGATACTGACTAGTAAGGCTGCAGGCAAACGATGTAGAGGAATACATCAATGCAGGGACCGCAGCTTCGAACAGTTCCAGTAACCACTGTCAAGTGAGGGGTGCTCAAAAATCAAACGTCCCAAATCGGGACCCTCAGTGGCATGAGTCACCTTTTAAAAGGGAGGGGCACAAAAGGGTTTCACAAACAAAACATCCCTATATCTATTACAAACCTCAAATGTTTTCGTTCCTTTCGGCTGTTGTACCCCGCAAATATGTAGGTGCGCCTCGGCTTCAAAAGCCCAGGCTAGGATTGATGTCTTGCCCGGCAACCTATCTTCCATCTAGCAGAGGTCGAGGGAAGCAGCTCTATGGTTGTGGGGGCATGTCATATGCATTACAAACGGAGGAACCTCCTTCCTCCCAAACGTCTTATTTGTTGCGCTCGCCCCAATCCTACCGTAACCTGCCAATTGTGGTTGCACATGCGCACATTGTCCACATGCATACACAAAATGTTGACGGCCCTGCCTTTTTCCGTGTGTCGGAGAGTCACACGGGCATCATCTTAAGTCTCCCCCACTGCCCGCAAAACTGGGTCCAGTGAAGCGACATTGCAACCAAGGTTGCGAACCCTTAGAATACCCCACGTTCGGTCGCTCCGACCTCCAAACCACCAATTGCGAAGCCGACTCCAGGTGCACAGTTCTTGTCTTTCTTTCTTGGGACCTCTTTTGGCTATCAATTCTGGGAGAAACGAAAACCACCACTTTGAGTCCAAAATGAAGCCTTCAGCCGGGGGTCCTGTTCAGCAGCTTGTGGAGGTAGTCCGAGGCCTTGACGACAAGCACCTGGAGCGCTCGCTGGACCATGGGTCCTGTTGGCGGCGCAAAAACCTTGCTGAATTGAAACCAGGGAGAATCGTCCCAATTTTTTGTGGGGAGCAGTTGAAGGCAGCTCTGCAGGTGTCTCTTCTGAGCCGTCAGAGTGTTTTTTGATATCCTCGCGCTGCGACACATCTTCTGAAGCGGAAAAGCGTGCACCTCAAGAGATGCTTGCTTCAGTCTCCTGCAGCCTGCAGGTCTAAGCGTTCTAAGGATTGGAGGTCACTGTGAATCTACAATTCGGACAGCATCACTTCCTACTCCTCCTCGGTAAGAAAAACAAGAACGGACCGAGCTTCCGCCTGCTATGAACGCTGCCCTTGAGAAGGACACCGTTTGCCTCCTGGCCCATGAATCCAGCGAGGCGCCCGCGCTGCTGGATGTGGAAGAAAATGCTCCCAATAAATGAAACGGTTGGGACGTCCCATTTGGTGGGGTGCATTTTTGAGGAACGAACGTATCTGATGAAGACCTGGAAGAATAGGTCAGTGCAGCCAGTATGTGATACTTCGACTTCCCAAAGTCATCAGAGAAGTTCGTTCCGCCTTTCGCTTGCGAAGGGCGTAGCTTGGCTCGAACTAGAGCGCCATCGTTAACATCTTGCGCGTGTGCCAGTATGGCTATCGTCGCCACCTGGACCTTTACTTCATCCAAGGGGCCCGTCCCTCGCCTTGATTCACAATGCCGGAAGCTTGATCGCACATCGCTCTTCTGCCATTGCTCGCCCGGAAGGGCGCTTCAGGCTAACACTCGCAGGCAGTTCAAATGGCGAGAAGCAGCCGTCGAAGCCAAAGCGTGGAGGAAAGCGCTTCAAAGAGTCCTGCCCCTGGCGAGTAAATCCCGCCACGAAGATTGGCATGGCAATGTCACTCAGCTTGAAAGTCACACAGCCCTTTAGGCCAGGAGCCTGATGTGTGCCGAATGTTCAGTCATGGTGCAGCACTACTAGCGTGAAGTGCAATGCCCCCCGCCTTGCTGTTCGGGACTGCGCTTCAGCCGCGCATGATGGCAAATATCTAGAAAAGCGCTTGCGTCTTCCTAATTTTCCCGGATTTGCCATTAGAATTGGTGAAGCTGCCTTGATAAATCGGACTGATTGAAATCGTGTTTCAAGGCAAGGCCTCAGTCATACAGGGGTTATCAAACCAAGGTGGTTCTCAACCGGATCTCCCGGGCGCCTTCACGTCGCTGGTGGACACAACCGCAGACCTCAAGGGCGGGGGGGGGGGGGGGGGGCGGAAAGCCTTCCCCTCCCGGGGAGTGGGATGTGGAACCTGCAAAATGGGGGAGGGGGGGGGGGGGTTTCCCGTGGGTTTCCCAAGACAACCCACAAATGCATAGCACTCATGGGATTTTGGCTGGTCTCCAAGTATGCCATGAATTTGGAGAATTTTGGGAAGCTTCTCTCCAAATATGGAATTTTGGGAACTCATGGTACATGTTGATATCCTCTCACAACCGATATTGAACAAAACAAACGCTCAAACGTCGTTGGCGTGGAATTTAGACCACACTTGAAAGCTATGGGAACCTCTGCATGGGGCATCCCCGGTTTCCAACGGGTTTCCCTCTAAAACAAGCCACAAAAGGGTACCGAGCCTTGTGTAAAGACAAACCCAAAAGTGACCCATTTTTAAGTTTTTGTAGAACATAGCCTCCTGTTTGGTGGGTAGAAAGCAGCTGTTTGGCCAAAGGAAAGGGAGCTTATTGCAAGAGAGGGGAGATGCCGGGGGGGGGGGAACGGGGGGGAGGAAAATTGGGACCCCGACTTGGGGGCCCGCAGCAAACGGCCTACGGTTCGGCAACTCGACAGGAGGAATTCAACACGAGAGGTTTGAGGCTCCGTCAAAAGGTCCAGCGTTGAGGTAACTTTTGACCAACCTTTTCCCAGATCCGTCTTGGCAAAAAACCACAACGAGCATGAAACGCCTTCCAAAAAACCAAAGAAAGCTTGAAACACCGATTTTCAAAAGGACAATGGTGGAAAGCAATGGGGCATCACCCCTCTAGAAGTGCCTCAATTCTCAAACGGACCTTCAAAAAGCAACCAAAAAGAGTTGCAAAGTTCAAACTTTTTGGACCTCCAAGGAAAGTAGCCTTGCGGTTTCTTCTCTTGCCAAAACAAACGGAAATGTAAGTTGCCTCGCACCGCCTCACCTATGATCCGTCTCGTAGGCAATATGTCAAAAGCCGAAAACGATGCAGCACCACTCGGAAATGAACATAGCAGGCCCACCCCAAATAAGCCCCAAATGCTTCCCGTTTCCTTAAGGGCAAATGTGAAACGAATGATTCTAAATGCCTTGCACCCAAGAAACCCACACCCAGAAGGACCTCGGACCCCGAATCCGTCGGATCCGTTCCGAGCTCTTGGCGGGTAAGGCTCCCCATACAGGACCGCCTGCCGCGGCCATGTGAGAGGGAACTCGGACACCTTCTCTTCGGGTCAGGATTGAGGTCCATTCAAAACCTCCCAAGGATTTATTGGAGAATGGCTTACCCCAACCCAAACAGGCGGGTCCTTTTGCCACCTTTGGTGGAAAAATGATCGACCCCCTGGTAGTGAAGGATTCCTTGTTGAGGGGGTCGCCAATTTTTCTCACAAAAGGTGGCAAAAAGACCCCCCTGAACCCAAACCTCATGCAGGGCGGCCATCCTTTGTGTTTTCGGGGTATCTAGAAACCAAAATCAAAAGCAAACCGGCTTCAGAATCTAGCCCCTTGTCAACAGAAGGTCGTAGAAAACAACTCCCACAAAAGGCAGTTCTGGTCACGAGGGGCCCTGTATGGCCCTGTGCTTTAAGCGCCCTTTACTGGGCTCAAAATGGGCTGGTAGCTGCTGGTCATTTGCTGCAGACCGCTGTGTTTCTGAATTTACCACCATTTCACCGTGAGTGAGTACATACCAAATCGATGGCTTCCCTAAGTAAAGCCTTTATTTTCGATCATGTTTTGCCGTGTGGCCCAACATGTTGTGTTAAACCACTGTTCTTTTGATGGGGGGCCTATCCTGATGTTGTTCAGAGGGCTGTGAGGCACCGTCAGAATGCTCCTCTTTTGCAGCGGCAAAAGTCATAACCTAGTGCGAAAAGCACCTTGTTCACCGCGCAGCATTTTTCACCATGCGTGTTCCCTCCTCCCCCATCGGTGAGCGCGTTTCTACATGACCTGAATACGGAGTCCCCAGCGACCCTCTGGGATCAGAGTCGGAAAGGACGGAAGGAGCCCAGGGACCCAAAGCACTGAGCAGAACTCCGCTGGGTCTCGGACGTCGCCAATCAAGTAGCCCTTGCCGACCCGCTCTTTCTTCCCCTAGCGCGGTACACTCGGGTTTGGATCATAGGGGAAGCCTCAAAATGGGTGGTGTCCTTTTGGCTTCCTTTTAAGCACCCCCAACAAGCGTACCCTCAAAACAGATTGAAAGGGGGGTTGCTGTCAGGCGGGAGCTCCTAATGTCTCCTCTGCGTTCATCGTACTTGCAACCAGTGGCTTCCCAAAGTCAAAAACCTTTTGCTCGCTCATCTTTAAGGGCAAGCCCAAGCGAAGGATAAAACCGGTGTACAGGACAACCAGGCTTTTGTGTTGTCTTGTTTTGTAAGTAGCTTGGCTTGCCATTTAGTTGAGAACTCACTTGTGCAATGGTGCTGCACACTCCAAGGTGCAAGTTCTCCATGACATCTTAGCCACATCCGTGAGCAATCTCTCCGTACAATCACTCCATGCGCTCCCTCGGGTGATTCCTTGGTGCCATCTGCGCAATCTCTCTGACTGGTCGTCCAATCGCACGTGGGCTTTCCACATCGTGGCTGCAAACAATCCTACCAGCAGGACCCGTCGCTATTTGTTCGGAAGCAACGGGCCGCGGTTTACTTGGTTGTTAAAAACAGGAAAATCCCGCAAGGCAAACAGCTATCACCCGGAAGGATTGGGGGTTGATTTGGAAGACCCGGACTGATGGCCATGGGAAATGAAGGGCACCCTCTTTTTGCGAGGGAAAGCCTCCAAAAAAGGTGGAAATGGTCACTGGAGGCCTGAGACTCTTTCCCCCGGCCTTGCCCACCTGTCGGCCCAGCTTGTCCTTCCTAGCCGTGACGGAAAAGCTGGCAAATGTCCCCCACCATTGCCACTGGAAACGTGTTGAAACACGCCTGGCCTTCAAGAAATGAGCCTTGAAGAAGTAAACACTTATTTAGAGACGCTCTTCAGGAAGCCTGCTCACGCACAAACACAGACACCAACCAGCTAGAGGGGGGCCTGTAAGGACTTTCAAACATGCACCTTTTGACCTCAACAGGAAATCACTAGCGGAATGGATCCAGGACATATCTACATGCGCGCTTTCGAATTGCTGCTTGTGTTGCCTCCGGTGGCGGTTTGGAGTTGGCGTGGGGCGGCGTGAGGCATTGGTGGGCAAAAAAGCTTCACGCAGCAGACCCCGACCCCTAGTTTTCAGGGAGAACGGAATCAAACAACGGTGGTTTAAACATGTGTAAACATTTGGTCGGCCCATGAAGGACTGTGCAAAGAGTTGCTGAACCCAAACCTTGTTTCGTGGACGTCGGAAACTTAGTTCCATTAGGGAATTTTATGAATTCCCGAGAACGTCCCTCTGACAATTTGAAACCTCTGCCGATCCGAGAGTGTTCGGGCTTCGTACGCCAGCTCGCAAGTTCGGCCTCTCTAGAAGAATGGTTTAAATGCGTCTTTTACGGATTCCATCTCAGCCCCCCACCCCGTTTAGTGCCCTCGAGAAACAAAAAGGCACCGCTGGTCGGAAACCGTAGGATCCTCTCCCTCTCGACTTCCCCGGCTCCTGGCCGGATGCACCACCTGCAGCCTAGCGGGCCGTACCGCTCCAAGAAGTGAGGGGCAATTGGAGGATTTAATCCAGGGCGAAATGGATGGGAAGAAAGGCGGGGAAAAATGGCCGACCCCATGTTGCTACCTACAACCCAGCGGACCCTTTAACTTTTAACTGCAGGAAAACAAATGTTCAAGAGGAACCCCAACCCACATAAGGAAAATAGGGGAGAATCCATTTTGGCAGAGATTGCAAATCTTTTCGATAGGTGGGGATGATCGGACAGAAAGAAACCCGTACCCAAAGCCGCTGAGCAGTCGGCGGGCTCCGAAACTCCTGCACAATTGATTCCTGAAAAAGTGAAACACGAGGAGGCCGAACCAAGGCTTTATCCGTGAGGTTTGGTCATCGTTTACTGTAATCGGAGCATCCCTGGTTGGTGCTGTCAATCGTCGATTTGGAGAGCCGCAAGCATGCAGGCATGGTGAGTTGAGGCTCATTTGGTCGCTGCGTTACAGTGGTAAGCCAGCACACACGGTTGAGCAACTGTTACGGCGGCAGGTCATACCATGTGTGGTTTCATGCACTCGGCCTGTCATTAAGAGGCCATCACAGGCAGCCTCCCTGAAAAACGAAGGGGTTGTACTTCCCCATAAAGTGGATTGATTTTCCGCTTGCGTTGCCGCAACACAAAATGCATCTTGGCATTACCGATCCATCTAGAACGAACAACGACAACTAAACAGCAAAGCAAACCAACAAAAAACAAGCCAATGGAATGTCCTGTCAAACAGTTTCCTTGAGTGCTCCTGTTGGATTGGCACATCTGGAGAACGAGCTAGTTGTAGTGGCATCTTGCATGCCGTTTCCCCTATTCACACGAATCCTGAGACTCCAGCTCGCCCTCCATGACATAGAGGATTCGTGCCTCCTCACAAGCCCGCGGCGCGAATCATGTGAGTGGCGCCGTGAACCTGGGTGTCCTTGTGGACAAATGTGGACAACATGGACAGCGCTGGACAGCGTGTAGAAACTAGCTGAATTCAGTGGAATCCGTGTCTGTTCGACCCGCTGAGTGTTGTGGTGGCGTACTGCAAAGGGAAATGGAATCATTGGGTCCAGTTAGAGCAGGTAGCCAGGGAAATCAAACATGTAAAACCAGATGTAAATATCCTGGATACGTGCTGTAGTGTGGGAAACTTAACATGAAGCACCAAGAACAAAGTATATGGGGAAGCCTCCACGAAAGGAACCTTCATGGGTAACTCCCCAATGTCAATATAATTTTTAGATTGCCCAGACGTGGCCTTCCATACCTCTTTGTCTTGACAAAAAGTGGGTCAACAATGCAAAGCCAGCAAAACAATACACCGGCTTTTGAACAACTGAGCCTAAACCAGTGATCCGATTGGTAGTAAAACTTCTCCTGCCCCCCACCTCCATTTTTGCCAATCTTTAGTCTTCCCGTGGAAGCGTTGAATCCACTGAGCAACTGGGAATGGAGCGCCCAAGTTGGCTGCAACCAGGCACTGTGCCACTGCTCCGTGCCGAAACTGTTGATTCACACAGCAGGGTCTCAACAAAGGAGCCAAAAGGCGCCCAGAGTGGATCCTCTTAGGCCTTGCAGCCTGAGTAAGTAGGCCGAAATTATGCTATTAGGTGCTGTCAGGCTCTTTTGGACTGGTAGCCCCTTTTCAGGTGGCGTTTCTCGTTTCCCTCCCCGGCTCCTCGAGTGAAGGCTTCGTGCCGGCATTGACGAACAGGTAGCTCCTGCCGTGTGCATTTTCTTCCAAAGCTACGCCGTGCCCCTAGGCCAAATAATCTAACGTTTTTGGAGCCTCGGGAGATACCAATCAATGGCAAGGCTTTATCTCCAAGCACCAAATCGACAAGTTCCGAATGGGTGTAAGCCCTACCCAGTCTCTGGGTATGATTCGGCACGTGAAACAGGGTACCTATTTGGCCAGTCCCTCAACTATGTTTCCTCGCAGGTTGAGCGGTGGGATTTCACGAGGTACGAAATCGTAAGATGAACATACAACACTTAACAGAAATTAGGTTTTCCTATATTTCCCTCTAGCATTGCATAACCGAAAGGAATATCACTTTGAATTGGCAACCAAAACTCGAGGCTCAAGGCCTCCCAAAAAAAATCAATCGAGCCGGACTCCGAGAAGAAGTCACGTGGAGCGAAAAAGGAGGAAGTCCCCAGTCCCCATGTCTGCACAGAATATGGTTGTGGGCAATACCCGTTTCTGTGATTTCCGTTGGGCGGGCGATTCCCATCCAATGGTAGCTGATTGCGTGCACACTCCCCCCCAGCTGTGTGGAGTGGGTTGCCAGAGCAAGGGATTTGTTGCACCCTTGTGTATGAAAAGACCAACCTGGGCAAGAGGAAATCATTGTGGGGGAGGAAGTCCCTCACGTCATGAAGCGCGTCTGCGTTCGAGATTCATTACTCTTAGGGTCTTAGGGTAGAATCTATCTCAGAAGGTCCTTGTCAAAAAACATTCAAAAAAAAACGTCATAGTCATATCAATGGTTCCTAACCTTTCGCCATTCCATGGAAGTCTTATCGCTCACAAGTCTTCCTGGGACCAAACTCCACAAATCGCTGCTCGCTCCTGGGATAACCCTTCACGGTAAAGACGTCCTGGTGCTTCTGGCACACCTGCCGCGTGGATTTCAGCGTTAGCCTTCCCAGCGTGGGACCAAAGAGGATATAAGCCTCAGTTCTTGTGGGATATTTGGTGAGTCCCCCCCCCCTCCCCAATATCCTTGTAGACTACTGGATGTGCTTACTGTAATTGGTGTTTTCCCCCTCTGGTGTCCCTTCAAAACATTGAATCGTCAAACGTATTCTATTGTTTGATTCGATGCCAGTCAGCCGCAACGGTTATCCTAACTCCACCCCGTGCTCTTGTACGGCCCTTGGCATTCTCGAAGCCATTCTATATTGACTTGAAACAGCTCTCAGGTTGCTCCCAAAGGATGGCAACAACGCGCTGCAAACGCGTCAAACTCAGCCAACTTTGACCCCACGTCTGCTCAAGTGTTGTGGAAACATCCCCCCAACTACCAAACAAATTGCCGAGGTTTGCCTCTTTCTGCGGGCATTTGGCCTTCCCGGGCGACAGAAATTCCTCGCAAGAAGCTCAAGGGAATCCTGGGAATTAAGGTGATCCATGTGCCACTGAAGGTAGTGGCCAAGGCAAACGCAACGAATACCCCTGTAGTCCCCTCTCCCTGGGTGATTTGACCTCGGATACGAGCTAACTAGCGACAATCGAAGGGCTCTAAAACTTTCGGGGTTCGTCGGCGTCCAGCTCCATGGGTCCATTTTTGTCGAAAATGTGCTGACAATTGCGGAAAAATCACTAAAAATTGCTTTTTTGTCCTGAAAAGCATGACCTCCTGCTGGCCAGGCCTGTCTGACGTGTCTGAGACTAGGCTCAGGCCCAGCCCAACCAGCAATCCGCCTGCTGGCCCCAAGTCATCCAGCAAGCCCAGCCCAGCCTCGCATCTCAGAGCATGCCAGCCACTAGCCGGCCCCAGCTCCCAGCCCACCAGCAGGCTCAGCCCAGCGTGCCAAGGTCAGGTTTGTCTAACGTGTCTGAGACTGGCCTCACCAACAACCAGTCTCACGTGTCTGAGACTGGTCTCAAGCTATGCCAGCTACTAAGCCTGTCTGACGTGCCCCAGCCCCTCAGTCCGGCTGCCCAAGCGCTCAGCCCAGGCTGGCCAGGCCTTGACCTCCTGCTCGCGTCTGGCCCCAAGTCATCCAGCAGGCCCAGCCCTTTCTCAAAGTATGCCAGCCTGAGGCTAGCCTCAGGCCCAGTCCCTCAGCCCGCCTGCTGGCGTGTCTTGCGTGTCCGCGACTGGCCTCAGGCCCAGCCCAGCCAGCAACTTGCCACCCAGCCTCAGGCCCAAGTGTGTATGAAACAGGCCTTGCCCATCCAGCAACCCGCCCAAGCAAGCCCGCCCAGCCCAGCCGCAGCGTAGTCCGGCTGCCCGGCAGCCAGCAACCCACCCATGGCTTCGCAGCCTCGTGGCTGAGACTAGCTTGCAGGAGTGGCACAGCGCCCCGAGATACCGCCCGGTGCCGTGGCAGTGGTGGAGCCTCTTCTCTGCGGTCTCGAAGTCGAAGTACGCGAGGCACTCCCTGCAGCGAGTGGCCCCTCACATGCCTCCCATCTTCCCACACCTCGCACCGGCAGCCGCTCCTGCACAGCCCTCGGCTCGGCCTCCAGCGCATGTTGGTCCACAGCCTGGTCTGCTTCCTGTAAGGAGTCCCGTACTTGGTGGCCGGATTCTCGATGACCCACATGAGCGGGTCGAAGTGCGCCATGATCTCAAGGGCTCTGAGCACCAGCGCGTCGCCCTCCTCAAGTCGTCGAGGGCGCATCGTCAGAGCTCTGCTGTACTCCGTGCAGACCGGGCTGGCCCAGACCATGTCAAAGTGCCCAGGCGGAAACAGCGCGTAGTCTCCGGATGTCGCACAGGATCGTGGGCTCAAATTTCGACACGATGTCCAGGGAGACGACCTTCCAGCCCACCGCCTCGAAGGCTCGGCCAATCGACTTTGTGCCGCAAAACAGCTCCAGCAGTCTCGGCATGTTTAATAATCACCACCAGCACGACGAAGCACGCACAGGCGACGGCGCGGCTCAAGCAGTTTCGCATGCTCGGACCAACCTTTTTTTAATCGGAGACAGAAAAGGATGACGAGCCAGACAAGCATGTGGAACTTGGGTGCGCTCCAATGCTAAGGGTGGCAAGTTCTTGAGCCTGGAGCCGCTGTTTTGGCAGAGCGAAGCTTCGCTGGAAATCCCATGGGAGCCCAGGGCTTTTTCCGAGGGCCAGCGCCCCAGCGTGAGCTTCGCAACCGAGGCTCTTCTGGGAGCGGGCCGAGACCGATCTGGTCGAGCAGCTGGCGGCCGCGTCCGAGCGCGTCTTCGACGCGAAGCTCACCCGCGAGGGCGTGCGCCAGCGGCTGCTGCCCTCTGTGAGGCAATCGCGCGGCGGCGATTGGCTGCTGAAGGCCAAGCTGCCTGCCCACGCGCGCTTCTGGAACGCTGGCGGCACGTTTGCGGACCGTCCTGCTGAGCTGGCCCACTGCGCCGCGGGGATCTGCGTGTGGAGCCACCGTCTCGCGAGTGCCCGCTGTAGTTTCTTCCGATGCCGCAGCCGATTTTTGCTCAGTAAAATCAGAATGGCCACCCACATCCCTGATGCGCTGAAGCGGGGAGCCTCTTTGGAGGAGGTGAGCCGCCTGCATGATGAGCTCACTCGGGGAGGTTTGTCTAACGTGCGACTGGCCTCAGGCCAACGACCAGTTCTCATCCTGAAGGACCGAAGGATGTGTGTTTAGATGAATCCTTGCTGAAATGAATATTCTTTATGTCCCCTTGTTGGTTTTACAGGGAAACTATCACTATTGAGGATATTTTTCCGGGGTACTTAAGCAAATGGAGGTTTGTATTCCCACCATGTACCTGTCTTGGGCTGAGCAACCGAGCAAGAAATGTATGTCATGGCAAGCCGCCAGCCCCGTGAAATGGAGGTGCCCAAACACCCAAAGTTGGTCTTGGTTGTTCAGTGACACCAATTATTGTTCCCCTTTTTATGGAGGCCAAGCCCCACTAAAAATGCTCATCCCCAGAAAGAGGTCCTTTTTTTTCCAAGGGCACTGAGCAGCTGAGATAGTCTTGGTTTTGGATTTCAAACCTTCCGAGCAGGACGGCTTCCGAACATCGAACTAGCACGGGCGAACTGGTGCGGTCACAAGCTTTCAGTAGGATTCGGACCTTCCCAACACTGGATTTCGGTGTTCCTGACCCTTCCCTCAAACTAGGCTGGGCCGAGGCGGGCAACGCGAAGCGTTTACAATTAAAGACTCCCATTAGCAACCTATTCGGTCTTATGTGCCTCTATTGGGCGCTACTCGCTGCTTTTGGGATTGGGGCAGTTCCGTCCCAGTCAGGGGGCGGGTGTAGTTCCTTGACGATACAAACGCATCCAAGGTGAAACTCGTCAAACAACAAAACATATAGTCTGAAGGTTATGTAATCCTCCAAGTTGGCTCGGCTCGGGTTGCCACGATTTAACTTCAAAGGGGATCTTGGGAGTTATGGTCAAATTTCCTTTTTCAACCGAGAAACTGAAAAGGAGTGCCGGAACCCTCTGAAGGAGCCCTATCCACCAACTTTGCTCGCACCGAAACCGAAAAGGTCGAGGCCTCGTCTAATTAAAACCTTTGGGCTCCGCCTGGGCGGAGAGTCGCTGGGACTTTGCGAAGCTGCGCACGATGTGCCACCGGTCTGCCGCCTTGCGCCCGCGTGCGTCGTTCCTTTGTTTGCCTCGAAAACGGAGCTTCGTTGCCACTACCTCACCCCCACCTCCCACAACGGCTTTTTGCTGTTGGTGTTGTGTAATGAGTGTTGGACCACAAAGCAGCTCAGTGGATTGTGACACAGAAGTGGGAAGAATTGTCTTGGGTATGGGATGGCATCGATAGTTTCATCGTGATCACGTTCCATGATGGCATGGTTCACTAAGTAAGGGGAAGCCTTATCAGAAGATTAGTTTACAAAGAGGAACCAAATAGGAATCAAACCGGCGTGAGACTCAGCCATTGGGGTTCAAGAAGCTCCACTGTGACCTTCCAACCCATTTTGGTATCAGCTACCTACCTGAGTCCACAGAGAAAAAACGAATCCAATCTTGGAGGGTAGTTGTGGTCGTGGATTCTTCTGAAAAAGGTGTGCATCCCCAGTTTCATCAGACATCTCCCAAAGTTCTTTGCGGGTTTGGGGAAATCTTGGCTCTTTCCGTTGAAGCGCCCCTGTGATCCGGCCTGTCCATGATATTCCTTTTCCGAAGAATGCCAAGCAAGGCTCAGCTTGTGTTGCAAGAGCCACAAGCAGGCGATTCCCACATAACTGCCCTCTTTCAGACTCAAACCCCAGGATGCCCGGTGTTCTTAACATCTGTGCCTCTGGAGCCCGTAAGTACAAAGGACTAAGAGGTCGTGACAGTGCCTTCCACTGAGTTATTCGCCTGACATCCTCCAGCCCAGAAATCAACACTGACCTATCGTGGAAAAATGTCGCATTGCAGCTGCCAAGGGTACTCTCACCGATGGCTGCCAACTCTTCGTTGTTCGTCCATGGTCAACAGAACCAACGGGCTTAGGCGGTTTCAGAGGAAACCTGCGGATCGAGGGAAGCCAAACAAGGGGGGAAGGATATCTCTCAATAAGACTGTCTTCCAACACCCTCCAACGATTGCTTTTGGCCGAGTACTCTGGTTTTGGACATGGAAGATCAAGAGTCGTTGGGAGATAGCTCGGAAAAATCCCAGCGGCTTTGCTGTGGCTGCGGCCTCCTTCTTGCGATAGTACTGGGACACCTTGCTGCGCGCAAGTGGGTGTGTCCTTTTTGACTGTACCGTCCTTAGGGCGGTATCATGAGTGATGCGCAAGATTTGTCTCTTGTATAGGAAAATCCCTCCTGGAAACTCACTTGGAACCAACAAAGAACCTCCTTTATGGAGGAGGAATCTCCTTTTTCGGGGGAAACCAGAGGAGAGACAGTTCTGGGTGGAGTTTGCACGTCTACCCTCCCTCCCACGTTGCCAGGGCACATGACAAGGAGATGTGTACTCCTGCTACTGAGAGTGCACCGAATTGGCAGGGATTGTCCGCTTGCCTTTTTCCTAAAGTCAGAACCTTCGGACGCGCCCTGGAGAAGCGACGGCGTTTCCTGCTGGGTGCAGGTAGACATGCATATGACCAGCTGACAATGGGACTATAACAAAGCAATAGGGGAACTCCCCAAACTGATAGCCAGGTAATAATAGTGACCGTTGTTCATACATACATATACAAATAACCGGTTGCGCAAAACAGGTATAGTGAAGGCTCGCAAGCATGCTGCACTGTTCTTCCAGAGATGGCATTGGCCATACTGGGCCCTCACTTTCCATTGTGTACCCTGCGTTCGCTTCAGGGTATCAGGCTTGGCTTTTTCTTCAAAAGATACAAGGGTAACCACCGATCCTGCGGTTCCCCCTCCTTTGGGGGGGTTATGTGCTGCAAAATAGCCTCTACGTGTGTAAAAAACAACAACAAACCTCCCACCTCGTGGGTTTCCATCCCCTCACTTTGCCCACTTGGCGCACGGCGCACTCCAGGGCATCCACGGGGAAGGAGAATGCCACCGTGGTGCTGGGCCCCATGTCGCCTGAAGTTCCGCGTCGTGCGAAGTGGGCAAGCCTTGCTTGGCTATTCGGCGTACACAGCAAATAGGAAAATCTGACTCTGTTCTATATTTGGTCTGCCCTAAAACATACCTTAAATCATTTTGGTGGAGACCCAGTCTGGCTGGATTGAAGCGAGGGGGCGTCCAGTAGCCTGTGTGTGTGTGTGTCGGCTTTTGAGGCGCTGCATCCGTTTCAGGTTGGTTTAAACAAAACAACTAAGGGAATTCCACCGTTGTTGTTTTTTCTGAGGGGGGATTTTGACACAGATCCATAAAACATCACGGGAGTACAAACAAGTCTCAATGAGGGTGGGCAAAAGTAAAAATCTATGTTTTTTCAAAGATGTCCCAAACCCCAAGCGGTCGTTTGAGGGTACTGGTGTTCATTTGTTGCTTCTTGGTTTGTGGTGAAATGGCCATCCATATCCAGTTTCGAATGGGAATTTCGGTTTATTGATCCCCTTTCACAGCTTGAGGGTATTCGGATCACTGTTCGGGCACCAGACTACCCTCATCCGGAGTCAACATTACTTTTAGAAACGCCCATTTCAACCCCAGCGCGGCTCGCCACTGGATGTGGTACACGGGCACGTCTCGAAATCGTGTGACCAAACAACTCCAACCACTCCAAACAACCTTCATTCCATATCTCGAAACCCGTGTGACCGGCATGGTTTCCTTTGCAACCACTCCAAACGACTGTGCCGTGACCTTCAACTTCGACACGGGGATGTCTCGCCTCCTGACGCCACAGCCTCAAGCTTGTGGGGGTCGAGGCGCGTAATGTGTTTTTTTGGCAGGGGGGGCGGCCCTGTGACCACCGTTTAGAGAATGCTGTTGAGGATGTCACTGCAATGGGCCCACTTTTCAGGAACAATCATGGATTTGCACATGGGCTGTTCACGAGGACGGTAGTCCACTTTAACAGTCGTTGGAAAGTGTGTACCGGGGACCGTTCCAAGAAAACTGAAACGGCAGCTATAGCAAACATTGGCCAAAAACACCAACTGTCCGGAAAGCAACCGCTGGAGGGTGCTGCTACTCACTGCATGGTCAATGTCGAAGCATGTTTTTGTTGCTTTACGTGCATAAAGGACTGAAATTCAGATGTTACAATTCAAGATGTTCTTAAAGGGTGACGCAAATAGGCAATGGACAAAAGAACAACTAATTGAAACATGGATTACGGAAATCCCGTTGCAAATCTACAATGGAAACTGGCAGGTGCTAAAGGGTATCTGCCCGTCGCATTGCGTGCCTCACCGTCGCAACTTGTCCCGAGGGGCTAAAGGGCCTATCGCATGCAAAATGTGTAAGGCATGGTGTGAGGCCTCGTATCCAAGACGAAAGTCGAAATGGAATTCATTGGGAAACTAATTGAAAGCCAAACGGAACGAAAAGGGACCAAAATGTTGGTTTGCTGGTCGAAAGGGAACCTATCAGGAAGCCCAATGTTTGTGCGGGGCCCGCGCAATGTTCTGAGGACACCCGCTGTGGGAAAGGCGGATACTTGAAAAACAAGTCCATGGAGGCACACCGCTCTTGGCAAGTAATTGACGCCTTTCACCACTTGTCAGGGGCTTACGCTCAATAAGCAACCGTACTCTGACAAGGCCAACCAAGCGGATTTCATTACCACATCCCTGGTGGCAAAGCACTCATTTCACACGAGAAGGATTCCCTCATGCCACACCAGTTACCTCATTCCACACCAGAGTAAATTCCAGGATTCCCTCATCTCACACCAGAGTCGCCGATTCCACTGCTCCTGCCATGGGATCCAAGGCTGGAACAGACTAGTTTAGAGCTTTTCGGCACAGGACGGTGAAACCAAGGATTTCCTTATCTCACACCAGAGTTTAGGGTTTAGGGCTTGTAGGGTGTATAGGGTTTAGGGAATTTAGGGTTTGGGGTCTTTAGGGTTTAGGGAATTTAGGGTTTAGGGCTTGTAGAGTTGAGATTTTTGGGGCTTAGGGTTTTAGGGTTTAGGGTTGTTTTTTGGGCTTAGGATTTTTGGGGTTTAGGGTTCGTTCAGTTTAGGGTTTTTCGGGTTTAGGGAATTTAGGGTTTAGGGTTTTTAGGGCTCAGGGTTTTTAGGGTTTAGGGTTGGGGTTTAGGGTTCTTTCATTTTCGGTTTTTAGGGTTAGGGTTTAAGGTTTTTAGGGCTTAGGGTTTTTAGGGTTTATGGTTTTTAGGGTTGAGGCCTTGTGCGGTTTAAGGGTAAGGGATTTAGGGTTCAGGGTGTTCAGGGTGTTCAGGGTTTGTTTTTTAGGGTTTAGGGATTGTAGGGTTTAGGGGTTTTAGGGGTTTAGGGCTTTAGGGATATTAGGGTTTTGGGTTTTTTTCGGTTTAGGGCTTTTAAGGTGTAGGGAGTTTAGGGTTTAGGGTTTTTAGGGCCTGGGGGTTTAGGGTTTAGGGTTTTTAGGGTTTAGGGTTTTCAGGGTTCAGGCTTCAGGTGGCTTGAAAGTAGCAGGGCAGGGTTCAACCGGATTGAAACGAGGTGATTCAACTGGCGTGAAACGAGGTGATTTGCCCCATCCCTGGTATGTTGGCCAAGCAGATGTGTTGGGACCCCCCGCCCCCCCACGAAAGATGGATTGCGCAAGAACAATCACGCAAACAGTATGCGCGTTGTCAAGCAAAACAACAGAGGCCTCGCTTGTTAAAAGCATCCCTGCTCAAACATGGACTTTCATCCGTGACAAGCCCGCGTTGCAGCAAATGGGCTACCAAATGTTTCTAGTAGCCCAAGTGCAACTCCTGCAGTCAAAGCCGAAAAGGTTCACACAAAATACAGCAAAAGGAACGACAAAGTTCAAAAATAAAAGGTGTCGCAAAAGCGCTCCAGCTTTTCCTGGCAGACCTCGTCGTCTTTGCAAATGCGACGGTGCTCTGCCTGCCCTCAGCTGTCATCCGCGATAAGGTTCAAAAAAAACGTTGCCAAGACACGCAGAGCGTCGGAGCGAGGCACAGAACCGCCCGATAAGGTTCAACTCGGGTAATAAAGTTCACACACCTCGCGCCTGAATAAAGAAACCTGCCTCGCAGGCCAAAGTAATCCGCAAAGACTTGCACTTCGCAAGATCCGCCCCAGACACCCTGCAGGGATAAGGCTCAAAACTGTCCTTTACACCCGCTGGTTTCCATGTGAAAGCCCCCCTTCGTGCCTCTCCAGCCTCTGCGGACTGGTTCTCCACATAGGCGGAGAACTCAACTTCAAGGGCATCGTCGTCTAGGCCCATGCGCCTCTCTGGGTGCTTAAGTGTCTCCTCGCAGATCACCTTTCTCGTAGCGTCTGCAGTTCCTCCCGCAAAGTGCGCCAGGGCGTGGTAGAGGCAATTATTGTCCCTGGGCATGGTCAAGACCTCCGTACCAACGCCACCGCAAGGTTTGAATGTTGAGGTCCGACAAAAACAGGTTCAACGCTCAGCGAACAAGAGTCCTTCGTACGCTGCAGCCGCAGCGCGTCCTCAAGCTGGTCCAATCTGGACCATTTTCTGGGCTTTTCCACCATAGTGGTCAAGGCCTCGACACAGCGCACACCGGAACAGACTGCGACAAGCCTCCGTGATTGTGCCCAGGCACCAACCGGATGCTGAAGCTCAATGGTCTTGCTTCAGCTTTGACCGCTTGAAGGTGCGGCGTCCTATGTCTTCACACGAGACGCGCTTGCCGGCAGGGGTCTCCAAGCAGGGTAGCGCTGATGGCAAGGCAGTCGCCGACCTAGCTGATCCCTGCCACTCCGTGCCAGGATGTTCCCATGGGAGCGCTGCAGGCAAGTGTCCAAAGTTGCCGCGCGTGGCAAACTCTAAGCCAGGAAGTTCAGAAGGCAGTCGCTCGGTCAGCAACGACATATGGCCTCAAGTAGGCGCGCTACGCTGTTCTGGGCCAAACCACTTCGCGCATATTGACAAAATCTCATGCGAGCAATGATCTCTGGGTTGATCCGTTCAATTCTTTGGCGGTGTCAGTCGGAGAATAAAACACGGCGTAGCAAAGCGGCATATTCTATCCCCTGCGCCCCAGTGGGGGGGAGTGGAAAGCAGCTTGAACAATGAGTTGCGAAAAGGTGTGGATGGTGAGGGGGGTGCCAAGCCTCAACACAGCAGAGTTTCCATAGAAAATCACTGAATTTCCCCAGCAGCTCGCTGGTGGGTTTCACTTTGCCGCTCAAGGTCCGAAGGGAAATGGGGGGACCCATCTGTTCCGATGGGGGCACGTCATGACAAGAGAAGAATGTCAGCCTTCAGCCCCGGTTAGTCACACAAAGTGCAAAGCTTGACGCCACAAAGTCGCCGTGCGCGCCTTGTCTCCATGTAGGAGTGCTTCATCTGCTCGTCGTGCCGCGACTTGGCCGTACCTGTCAAAGGCTGCCAAACAGATGCTATTTTTCAACCAGCAACACATATTGGCCCTTCGCCATGCTGTTTCCTTGCGGAGGGCGTGCTCAAACCAAACGACATGATGATGCTCCCTTTGTCATCCGCATCACGCTCCGTTGGGCACGTAAACATGGTGCGACTCTCGATGCAGGGTCCCGAACAAAAATGCCATGAGCCGGGCAAAACATGCACCAAGGTGCACCTTTGAAGCTTACGGAGACCTCGACACCCAGATCCAAAGGCTACCTTTTCTTAAACCAACATAGCATTTTTGGGAGGGTACCTGGAAGATCGATTTCCTGTTCAATGGACCGTCTAGGTGCCATGGCAACTTGATTTCTTCTTCAATGGACCGTCCAGGCCTCATGACCTTGTAACTCTGAGAGTCACCCCTGTTGAATCGGGGAGTTGAGCCCCCAGTCTTGTAGACGGTAAAATGGGAAACGACCCCCTAAACTCCAAATCAGCAAAGCCACAAATCAGAAGGAAGCTGATGCTTAAAACAGACACCGAGGGAAGCTGCGACCCAGTGGTTCAGTCAACTCTGAGAAGCGGAAGCAATCAAGCAGGCTCCTACCCGTGGCTCCCTAGACAGAAAGGTAGCTGCGTGCACGCGCGCTTAGTGCCAAGTCAGGAAGGTCTTGCTCCACGCGGCAGGCTCTCTGACTCCGTTAATTACAACGCAAAGCATGCGAGTGTGCTGGGACGCACAGAGCGTTTAATGCTCGGACGTAGCAGAAGGAAAGCTTCGGCGCTGTGGTCAGGAAGAGCGCGAGGTCGCTCGCTGCTGACTCGCAGCGAACGCAGTCTAGGCGCTCGGCAGCAGCTGGACTGCTGCCAAGCGTCACCTGGGCAACGCATGTAAGAAGAACATCTTTCAATGCACCCGGCGCGCTGCCTCCTAGTCTGTGAAGGCAGCGCCAGTGCAAGAGACTCGAGCGATCGAGAGCACGGGCAAACTGAGAGATTTTGCGCGTGCTCCAGAGAAGCACAGGGCGCCAGGACGGCCAAAGCCGTCCGAATGATCTTCGGCAACCAAAGCCAGCCGCAAGCGTCGAAGCAAGGCCTCTAGAAAGTCTAAAAAGTAGTTCTGGTCTGCCGCCAAACGCCGCGCGCAAGGCACTTTGCCGATGCGCCCGCGCGGCATTGACAAGCCCTGCGCGGCAATGAATTCGGAGAGCAAGGCCCGGTAAGTCCTGAGGCAAGCAGTTCCTCTCTTCCGGCCATAGCTGGGGTCCTCAAACTTCCGGCGCCTGAGCTGGTCGCACGTACGGAATAAGGATGACATCGCTCATAGTGGGAACACAAGCAGTCGCAATGGCAGCAGCAGCGCAAACTACAGCTACAGTATCCGACTGCTCCTCTTATGCTTTCCGCTACGTTGTCACCACTAGCCCTGGTAGCATAACAATTACCATTCTTCTCATGGCGATTACCTTGATCGCTCTACTACAAGTGCTATGTCGGCTATTGCTGCTGGCAAAACTTACTTTGCAGCCGTGTGATAATGAGCCGAGATGCTCACAGCATCCATGCTGCAAATCAGCATAGGTGTAGATCCTCTCCCAGCCGGGGAAATAGCAGGCAACAAGCTCTCTGGCGTGAGGCAGAAGGTCCTGCAAGCCCCGCCGCATTGCCTTAGCGCCAGCAACTGGTCAACTACTCACTCTTGCACCATGGAACATATCAGGCTTTAGGCATCTTAAAAAAGAAGGCACCCGCTTCCACGCGATTGTGTGTTTTCAACGCGGAAGCAAGCCTGCGCGTGTGGGGCAGGTTGGGCGGACGCCCGAAAACAAACAGTCTGACAAACAAAATGTTTTGCCGCCGAGATTCATCTTCGCTGCAATGCGAGCTGGTGCTCCCAGCAAGCCTGGGAGCCCGGGAGCTGTCGCCAGTCTTCTTTTTCAGTCTGCAGTACTGAAAGGAAAAAACAGCCTCCACAATTACGCCTCAATCAAATCTAAGAAGCCTTGTTGCCCACTCCTTAGCACCCCGGCCAATGAAGTCCAGATGGCCCTGCGCCAAATTGACCGACTGCAGCCGGCGCAGAGTGAGGTACGTAGTCCAGCAGAGCCAACTTGTCCGGGAACATAAGACAGACAAGACAGAGGCTGCAGGCGTGCCTCAAACAAGTGGGAGGCTGTGGATGGTGGGCAAGAGTTTGATCCTTCTCCCAAACCCAATTGCACCTTAGTTTCAAAAACTGCCTCAGTGGCATACTCGCAGTGTTCTCTCGTGAACTCATCCACAAGGCCACCGCGTTTCTCGAGATCCGCGATCAAGAGCTTGGCACGGGAGTTCAGTCCACGGAGGCCATTGGAGGGCGGAGATGCGACTTTATGCTAGCAGAAAAGCACTGGTGGGCGAGCCTTCACTTCAACCTCCAGGGTCTCAGACAGCCAAAGCTGAACCTTATCTTGCGCAGGCATTGTGAACATTACTATTGTCCCTCGTTTTGCCGCTTATGTCCCCTCGGGGGGGTTGCGCCGACAACAAGTTGGTTCGTCTGCAGGGAAAGCTTTGTGAACATGGTTTGACGTTTCAGCCCTTAAATGGAAAACCAGGTGTTGTCACTTTTACTGATGCCTCTTGGGCAACCAAGAAGAGACGGTTCTTCAAAAGGCGGTCATCTTACGATTGCGATGGAAGAAGGCATGATTCAAGGTGCTAAGACGCCTTTCTGCGCGCTGCAGTGGTCGAGCAGGCGTTTAAGACGGGTGGCACGGTAGTGAAGAAGCACAAACGGCGGCCAAGGCTTTGGATAGAATTTGCGCAATTGGCGCTTCATGATGCGATGGTTGGAGAAACTCTGGAATTGCGGAAGAGTGATTGTTCTCTACAGCAACATCCTGTTTGGTGCGTGATTCCAAGAATATCTTCGGCGACGTGATAAATGTCGAAACTTTGGGTTTGCATACGGAGGAGCTTCGGCAAGCGGCTGTCAATCTGAAATGGGTTGACGGGGAACAAGAACTTGCTGACCCTCTGACGAAACCCTGGAAGCACGATGCTTTGGCGCAAGCCCTTTCGAGAGGTGAGTGGAGAGTTGTTTACGATGCGGAGTTTCAGTCTGCCAGGCTGCCAGGCGGAAAAAGGGCCCTCAAGCAGCTTGCTTCTTCTGAACACTTCTGGCTTCAAGTTCTTTGGGCTGTGGACTTTCGTTTCGATGTCAATGGTGGTCAAAAAGAGTTCCTGGGTCGGTGTGAAACCGAGCATGCTTGACCACCATCTTTGAATGTCCATTGCCGGTGGCCCAAGTGCGCTTACTTGTGTTTGGCATCCGGCGATCCATAGCGGCTGGTGCGGAAACAGGCTGCGCTCATTGTGAAGGTGATTTCAAAATCCAGCCCTCTCAGGGCTTCTCACAGATGGGGGCTTGGGTGGGGGGAGGGGGGGGGTGCTGTTGAGGGGCAGGTGCGGTGGAGGGCCCATGTGAGGTACCACAAGATCATGTTGTGAGGAAAGCCCTGTTTAAACCCGGTTCGTGTTGTGTCTTTGTTGTTGTTGTTGCTGCTTTTTTGCTCTGCCCTGCTTTTAAGAGGCACCATCAGGGGGACGGGGGGTACAGTACGGGGATACGGTATGGGGGTGCGGCACGGGGGTACGGGTGGAACACAGCAGTCAAATCCCAACCTGCGCGTATCTAACCGGATCTGGCCGTGTCAAACTGATTGTATCTCAAACCTGGAGCTGCTGGGTGCCCCTTTCTGACAGGTGAGGCAAAACAAGTTGAGCAAAGAAGCACCACACTTGAGGTCTGGGTTAATGAAACCATGGCCTTTAAAATGAATCTTGTTAGCTTGTAGTCCGCCTTGGCCCTGGTCGCCGCCCAAAAGACAAGCTCTCTCCCTCCTCAGTATCACAGAAAGTGGCAAACCAAAAACAAGAAGGATTCCCGCATTGTGCACCAACCTTTTAACATCACCCACCAAAGCACAAGTTACCGAACTGGGAGACTCCCCAAAACCAGGGTCTTGGATCAAGCATTGCGGCGGAGTTCAATCATCCCATGCTAAGCTTTCGACGGTCATCGAGCGGATGCGGTCCTCTTTGGGCTTCACCGTGAAGGGTTGGCCTGGCGGCTTTACTTTCCTCACCCAAAACCAGGCCCCCAAATGGCCCCCACAAACGGGCTAAAGGAGGGCACGTGACCATTGGATAGCCGTTGGGGTTGCTGTCCTGGAACGTGCTTCCTGTGGGCAATCTCCCACGCCTCGCTGCCAGTTGCTGAAAACGTCCGAGCCCAAAAGCCTCAGGGCAAGCTCGCAGGGCGGTCCAACTGAGCCACGGTCAACAAAATGTGCACTTGCTGCACTGACATTCGCATGAGATAATTCGGGCTCCGTCCCGGCTTTCAACGCCAACGCTCGTTGAGGGTGGATCCTCCGGTCCTTTGGCATCCAAAACAACCGCAGATATCGCCCTTCCAGTTTGAGGCGCATCATTACATGTATTGACCAGCCAAAAGCAGTTCTCCGTGGAAGGGGAATCACAAGAAATCACTCAATGCAAGGAAGCCACGGTCAAACTACGACAGGCGAAAGATCACGTGTTCCGGCTTTTGCGGGAAATCTTGTTCACCTATGTCCCGAGCCCCAAAATGGACCATAGACTCCGAACCCGCAATATGAGATCCATTCAACACCCCGATACCCAAAGCACTCCAGGTTTGCTTTATTGCCGCCCCACGTACAATTTGGGTTGGGACCAGTCTCCCAATGACCACTACATTCGGCCCGACCTCACGCGAGTGGGCGGCAACAATGTCCGCGTCCCATTCAGAACCCAGCAAACTGGGGTCCCCAATAAACCCTTCCAACCATGGACTGAAACCATCCACTTCGCACCGCGGTTGGGATTGCTGACACCCCCTGAACATTGGTTGAAAGACCGCCAATCTCAACCGATGCATTGGGCATGGGATTCCATCAGTGAGAACCAGCCCACTGCCAACTCTTCCAAAGTGAAACAAACCCAGTTCAGTGGATTCCGCCGGAGTTTTCCAGAAAACCTTTTCAGAGGCCCTCAATTCGAGACCTCGAGGCCGTGGCACACACGGCGCCGCCTTGGTGGAGTCGTGGGCCAGGACCCCCGCGTTCTCGTTGCGGAGCTTCACCTACAGTTCGGCCCTAAGAGTTCAATTGCTCCGAAAGTTTAACCAACCCCAAAAACAGCAAATCTGAGGTACCAAGCGCCACTCTGGGGAAACTCCACATACTGACCGAACTGCACGGTGCCGGTGCCATCATGATGTTTGGTTCTAGGAAAAGTTCCAGGAAACAGAGGTGCTGCCGTCCGACTGTGTTTTGCACCCTGTCCAAAGGCCTTGGCTCAGTTGCTCGCCAAAGAGCAATATCTACATCCGTTCTACCGTGCTGGGTGATTTCGAACACTTGACAGACCGGCAACCCGGGACCTCAAGGGAGGCATCTTCGTGGTCACATGAACGAACCAACCGGTAATGGCCTACCCGTGCTGGAAAAACATGGGCTCGAACCCCCCCCCATAGCATTTGATTTGCCTCGCACGCGCATCGAGGGGGAAGTGTGTGGATTTGGAAGAAGCTATGCATTTATTTAATTTTAATGTCTCTGTTTAGGCAAACTCCCCTTCCATATTTCCATGTGGGTATGTACCGCTGGTCCCCCCCCCAACGGCCACCCCAACCAAAACAAACTCTTTGGCTTTGGCCGACGTATATTTAGTGATAATGAAAAGCATGTCAAAGGAGATCCCAAATACATATTTTATCCAGGTACGCCCAGCGCCTCTCAACCCCGGCCTCGCCGGTGATGATCATAAAGACACTGTCAGCCTCTTCCCCCTCTTCAAAGAGATGGCAGCCTGGCGGGCACGGTGAGTGCGGTGCCGCCTGCCTTGGGGCTCGGCGCCCGAAGCGGTCGGCGCCGGAAGCGGTCGGCATTGCAGTGTTTTTGTTGCCAGCCTACATTTCCCTGGAGCCGCAATCAGAACCCTAAGCAATCAAGAGTAGTGGTTGGGACTTCTAGGTTCGCAAAACCTGCCCCTGTGATTATGTATTATTGGTTTTGGGTATGTAGACCGCTTTGATACAGGGTGTTGTGACTTGACTGACATACTTGTAGGTGTTTGTTGTTGTCATTGTGGCTCCCTTTTTGTTGCGCAAATCCAAAACTGATGTCCCAATTCTCCAGCGCCCATGCGTTGCCTTTATGAGAACTGTCGGCAAATGGGGCATATGTATGGATATCTTTTGTCTTCCTTTCTGGAACCCCCAATTTTGCTGTTCGCTCGATCCATATAAATCGGGCCGACTGCTGAATCACTTACCTTCAGATTCGCCATCTCAGGGATACGCTAGAATAGATAACTTTCCGAAAAGCGGGGAACCACCCTGCCCATGAGACAGTTCGGAGGAATTCAGAGCATATGCTGTCATAAGGCGGGCATCTGCGGCGATCAGGTTGATTCCCGCAATGTGGGAACTAAGGAATAAAACCACCCTGTACTCTTGCTCGCAGGTCGTCTTATCTGCTTTGTCGGATCAACATGACTTCTGCCTACCACAGCGACAAGAGCATATTAGCGAGGCACAACTCCGTCACTTGCTATGTATTTGAATCGGGGACCCTTGGAGGACATCGTGTACATGGAGAATTGTATCCCACCACCAGATTTGAGGTTGGCTCCCCATTCGAAGTTCATAGCCAGGTTTGCGCACATCCCGGATCACACACTTGCGTGTCCGTGGATTTGGGAACGATCGACAAACCCAAACCCAAAGCAACGACAAGCACGCACATACACACATACACACATACACACATACACACACTCACACACACACAAACAAACAAACAAACAAACAAACAAACAAGCAAGCAAGGAAGCAAGCAAGCAAGCAAGCAAAACAAAACAAACAAACAAACAAACAAACAAACAAACAAACAAACAAACAAACAAACCAACCACCAAACCAACAAACAAACAAACACAGAAGCACTCACACAATCACACATGCAATCACACACACACACACAAAGCACACACAAGAACAAACCACACACACACATCCTTGGGCCAGTTGACTTGGAGAGGAATCAGCCCACCCAAAAGGAAAAGGTGCCACATACTCGTTCCCCTCAGGGATCGCTGTAGGAAGGGCCTGTGCACCGGGTTCTTCTCCCAAGCAGGAGGCCTGATTAAGGCCTCACTAGGGCGATCGTTGCGTGTGCCTTTGAGCTTTGAGAGACGGTGGGTGGGGGGGGGCTTGGGCGTCCACGATGTTAATGCACGAACGCCATTTTGATAACATCAGTCAGAATAAATCACTTGTTTACCCATCTGTTTTTGATATCCCTTGAGAAGGTTCCTCGTTTGTTGGACTCATGTTGCACTCAAACCAAACTCAAACGTCGCCTGGCACATACGTGTCCGTGAAGATCTTGTCCACAATCTGGTCATACCTTGCCGGGTGGGAGCTTCCCAATAATGGGGGCCGTAACACGCGTGACTTCCTTTTGAACCTTTAACTACAATCCCAAAATGAGTCATAATCAAAACACGGTATTAACATGGTCTACCCAGAACCATGTAAAGGAATTAGAAGGCATCCGCAGCCAGTTGTGGTTGGGATTGTCCCTTACTAACCTTCATCTACCCGGGGTTTCATTGTGGCTCAAATGGAGTCCATCATTTTGAGCAGCCCCCAACCCCGCCATCCAGTTTCCCCTGTGATGTGCAATCCAACACGGATCCCCAGTGTCCCATGGTAAAGCGCAGGTGTGGAGGATGGATGCACCGCAGACCGAGCTGCCATGCGCTTGAGACAGCGTCGTGGACAAAAGTTGTAGGTCACAAACAAGCTCGTGAACAGCTGAGATGCCTGGTCCTTCTATAATGTCTAAACCTGTGGTCCTACATGGTCCTACTATGTTGCTGAACATGGTGATCCACACTGGTGTGCCTGAGTTGCAGTGTTCCTACTATACTTGTTGAACATGGTGGTGTCCCTGCTGTGATTTAACACGACAGCTTTCCGTGCTTTCGAATTGATGTTGGGCAATTGTCTGAGAAGGATCCTTGATCCTTGAAATACATTGGGAGGGTAAGGCAAAAGGGACCCTGAAGAACTGGTTGGTTTCCTGTTGTTTCCCTTTTGGCACCACTCAAAATGAGGCCCCCTATGTTTGGAGACACCCCTTTTATCTTCAGGGGCTCTCTATGTTTCAAAACACTCATTCCAGGGACTGAAGTTGCTTACGTGAAAGCAGCCCCGGCGCAGATTGCTCTCGCTGGCCGAGCTCGGTAGGTACGGCAACCCTTTCGCAAACCTGTCATGAGCGCTTTGCCCTAACGGGTAAAGCCGTAGGGTGTATCGTTCTCCTTTGGCCCTTTCCCGCACAGAAAAAAGGTACAAACTAAACAACAACAAAAAAAGCACCCACCCACCCACAATTCCCAGGCCCGGCGGTCTGGGGCAAGGACAGCTCAGGTGGGATGTCGCTAAAGAATGGCCTCGAGCTGAAATCGAACTCACTGCCGTTGGTGGAAGGGCCTTGTTGGCACAAAAAAGGACTGAGGATGGGGGGGTGGACCTAATGTTCAGCCCAAAACAACGTTAGAAGCCAAGCCCTTATTCCAAAGAAAGGTGGAGCCTGCGGCAAGTTTTCGGCGCACAGGTGTCTTGCAGAGATTGCCAAAGAGACTTCAGCCACCTACTCCTGGGAAAGGTAGAAAACTGATTCCTGGTACCCCAGTGGTTTGGTCAATCTTAAGAGGCTAGGCTCGGAATGGCTCAAAGACACCCTGAGCACTTCAAAAGGGAGTTCTCTACTCAAAAGGGATCAACAAATCAATGCTAATCTGGACACACCCTGTCACAAAACAGCTTCTACCAGATTGCATTCTCCGCGTGCTAAGTTCAAAATTCAGCCAATGCGTGAGTAAACCCCAAACCCACCATTTTGGAGGGTTTATCCCGGTCCCGAAGTACTATGCCCGTGAGATTTTTTTGGGCGCATGGGGTCTGGCTGTTGCTGTCGGTGGACAACACCTAGAATGTGGGACGAACGAAGTGGTTTACCCTCAACCGTCCGTTCCAGCCAACTTTAAAAGGGGGGGCGCCTCAATTTTATGAAAACCCAAGCTATGAAAACAAGAAGACACGAAACAAAAAAGGATCACCGTGCAAATTCCCAAGCAGCATTGTACACGTTGGCCCAGAAAAGAGAGAAACAACTGAAGCCAAAGGTCTGCCGGCATCGGGCCCATGGCCACGGCTCCCTGAAGAAGTCTTGCGCTTGCGCCGGTCTTTCGATACAACCTCCAGGGTGTCGAGGTGTCGAGGTGTTGATCTAAATGCCCCCCACCTGTGGATTTACCCTTTGAGAGTGCTACGAAGAGCGCAGCAATTGGTAAAATCCAGGTTGAGGCATCCAACATGTCTCTAGAGGGTATGTTGGAAAAGCAACCGCGTCGTCTTTCGCAGCAGGCTGAAGCCCTGTCTTCTCCAAATCCCTGGGAAACAGTTTGCGGGAAACACCTGCATCTGGTAGTTTGCTTCCGATCGGTCCTAGGGCCACTGCAGAAACCGGAGCTGGGACATCCTGGCAAAAGAAACTTCCGCCGGGAAGTGGCACAAAATGACCCAAAGAGACCCTCTGAACGGTGGATTGAAACCACCCTCCAATAGTGACTTTGGCTCCCCGCAGGATGTTTTTTTTTTCAGGGACCCAAACAGATCATGGGATTGGTCTGGAAAACCCCCTTATGCAAGAAATGATAATGTTCAACAGGGCAACAAAAGAAATCCGATTCTCTGTGAGGTTGCGTTTCACCCATGTGGCTTCCTTTGCACGACTATTTAGCGCTACTCAACAAGAGATCCGCAGTTTTAAGGGTCCGAACCTTGTTTCTCAGCATCCTTCCGTTCTGGCTAAAAATCTCCGTTTGGCCTTCGGTGGCTGTCTGGAAAGGCTCGGACAGGATGGTAGGAAGCTAACCCTAGAACTCTCCTCAAGATTGTACTATTCCAGCAACTTGACGTACACGAAAGTGCACAACCTCTCTCCCAGTGACTCCATTTCCATGTATAGTGGGTAACCAAGAGAACCACCGTTTTTGAAAACTAAGAATGACAATTACTGGGTATCTGTTGTATGCCTGGGATGCACTAGGCTTTGACTTCTGCCCTTTTGAAAAGGGCTCATTGCCCCAGATCCGTGCCCCCACATTTAGTGAGCCGAAACATGTGAAGCAATGCAAGCAGTCTAGGGGTAACTTACCATTTTGCCAGGAGTCCTCTTTTCAAGTTGTTGAACAGAACGCCGGCTGAAAAGGATAAAACAAATCATCACCTGGCAAAATGAGACCCTCGGTTCGAGTCAAAACATGCCGGGCCCTGCAGGTAGTAATTCTCCTCCTTCGAGATCCTCGGCCGCAGAAGAATCGAGAAACTGCAGATGGACAAGCCCCACTTCGCATCTTATAAGTACTGGGGGAAACAGTGTTACCCAAACCCTCAGCGTCCCAGCGACCACGGGTAAAAAGGGCACTCTTCTTTGCTGTTGGTAAGCTCCAAAAAAGGAGGAAAGGGCTCCACTGGAGGTCTGGGACTACCACAAACCGAGACGCAATGGACCACCCGGAACCACTGCCCTGGTAATCTGTCCGTTGCTCACAATGCTGTCGTCACCCTGAAGGACATTGGGAAACTCCGTGAGTTCTCACTTTTGGTCAGAAGTTTGGAACGTTCTTCATGTGCCTTTTTAAGTGTTGCTCGAATCTTCCCCACTCATCCCAGCCACACCCCCCTGTAAAGAAATTTGGCCGCAATCAACTCGATGTTCATCTCAGGGCGCGCCCGGCAAAAGGCGCCGAACTCAAACCAGCGAGGCGGTGCCTGTACAGATGGGTTCATCTTCAGCCAACCACGACCATTCGACCAAAGAACGCAAGACCGACCAGCAAAGAGGCCAACAAACTCGAGTATGAGGAAACAAAATGACCCACATCCTCGAGCCCACGTGCTTGTGGAAACATACAAGGAGGCGCTGGTTCCCATTTAGTGTTAAGAGAAATGGGGTCAACAGAGCACACGTTCCCCACCCACCCAAACTGATTGCGCAAGTGTCCTCTCTCTCTCTATATGTATATACACACACAAACACTAGGGTCGGCCCAGTACTCCCTGCCGTGCAGCATCCGGATGATTAAAGCGACAGGTGCAATCACGCATATGCCTATCAGGGGTTACTCACATGCTGCTACAATACTTTGCTCAATGTCATCGCTACGTTCACGTGCATTGTTCCGAATGGAATTACCATTTCGTTGCGAAGTTCTTCGTTGCAAAGTTTGTCAGGTGTAGATGGGCAGTGCAGTCTAATTGACCTCACCCCTGCAACTACTGTCTGAGTGGGAAAAATACCAAGGCGGAACGCAGCTTTTTCCTGGGAGTGAAACCTTATATCCACAACAAGATCCCAACTTGAGATTCAAGGTACGCACAAGTGCGGCAAGGTACGAAAGGCAGAATCGTCTGTAACTGTTCAAGCCCGACATGACTGGGTCTGCTTTAAACGTCTTTGTTGACGAAAGTGGTCGACCGCAAGTGTGAGCTAAGTGGCAGGGGCGGGAATCGTCTGTAGTTCGAATGCTTTTTGCCAAGAGGACGGGAAGATGGTTGGTGGGGATGTGACTTTCCTTTTGGCTTCCGTTTAACCCGCGGTGAAGCGGGTACCCTCAAACAACACACATACGCACACACATGCACACCTGTCTTACCCTCTGTGTCAGGGCCAACCCCCTGACCGCGGGGCCCCAACGTACCATCCTGACGCCGCTTCAGCAGCTGCCTACAGAGATTTCCGGCCCGCCAAGGCTTGGATTCGGGTCACCAGCGAAGTCCATCTTCATTATTTTTGAACCAACAGACCAGCTTGTCCATGACCTGCAACAAACCTATGGGAGGTTGAGCTCCCTATGCGCGCCATGGGCCTATGTGGCATGGGCCTTACACTGACAACAGACAGTGTAAGTGAGTTACAACCTAAGTTGCTGAGCACTTAACTGGGCGGAACATCCAAGGCGAGATGGTGCTCTGCTAATATAAATGGGGCAATACTGGAACGCTTTGTCAATATCGGTGCCACATGGGCGGGTCATATCGCAGTATCAAACCCAGCTGAACATGGTGAGATGACCTTGCTCTCAAGACTTCTTGCCTAGTGATGGCTGGCTTGTCGTTGGCGATGGAGAGAGAGCAGGTACCGTTTTGGTTTCGGGGATGTTGTTGCACAGGGAGCTAAAGACAACCAGCTTTTGAGTTCATCCCTGGCTCAAGAAATGGCCGCATGCCGCACCAATTGGGAACTGTCTTGGTGCTCCGCAAGGCCATGTGTGTTGAAAATAAGATTTGCAACCCCGAATGGGCTTTCGCTCCCCTCCGCTTTCGTGAAAAAGAACACCCTCAAAAAGAGAGACGCCAGTGATCTCAGCAACCCTTTCACTTTCAAGGCAGGGCATTTTCAGAAATCAATCACCCTTGCAAGGCAAATGTATGTGGGTCTCGCCAGGGGCCCATGAGTCTCAAAACCTTTGGTGTTTCGATGAGTTTGCGCTGGCGGTGACGACAATGCGATTTTGCCCTCAAGCTGGGTCTTCGGAGATTGAAGTTGCCTGAAATGGATCTGCTTTCCAAGTAGCTTGTCATGGGCAATTGAGCCCACCAACCTTTGGCTTACTTGCACACATGGATGTCAGCTATAACCTACTTACTAAAAAGGCTGACTATCCAAGTAGGGGCCCTTAAGGGTCCAAACAGTTCTTTTTTGAACATCTGCCATGTTCCAAGAACAAGGACGGAGGCCCTCACGACTGCATTGCGAGCGCTCTCATGTCGCTGTGGCTGGCTTTGGACATACAGCTTGCAAGTGTCCTAAAATGGGGAGGGGGGCTCCGTTTGCGATGCTGCATAAAGGGCAACCAACGGGAAACCAACCATCTTTGGGGCATTTCGGAGTCCTATTAGTTTGGGGAAGCGACCAGTTTCAGATTCAGCATTGGCCGACTTCGAATGAGCCCTCCTTTTTCTGCTTTGGCCAGACGCCGCAGGCACGACGCCGCAACCCGGAAGTTTCAGCAACGCACAGCTCCGAACCCTGCAAAGACGATATGTCAGCAATTGGACTTTCACCACCCGGTTTGCAACCTTTGGCCCCGTTGAGGAAGCACAGGGAACCCCTCCAAAACCTCCAAAAGGGTTGCTGCACTTTTGAGCATCCCATTGTTTTCCCAAACACTCGGTCTAGAAAGCAAAGCTTTTCCCAAGAGCTTATCATAAACAGGGCTGATTGAATCTCCTTGGCACACGGGTCGAAATGCGGTTCCTGGTAAAGGGAAATAGAAACCCTGCACCAATCTTGTACCCTTGTGGGGGGCTGTTTTTGGCCCTCACCTTTGATATTTGGGGATCAACCAAAACAGGGTTACGTTCTGGTTTGGTCATCCTTTATCGGCTCGAATCGAGGAACCCTGTGAAGACAAGGCGCCACAAGGATGCAAATTTCGTGTGCACCGTGGTCCGGCGCCTCAGCATCTTCAAGCCGCAAAGCTGCTTGCGAGCAGCAAGCCAATCGACCAGTAGTGACCATTCAGGACTATAATAGTCATCAATCGTCACTAATAGTAGTGACCTCACCAGTCATCAATAATAGTCTATTATTGATGACTGGTGAGGTCACTACTATTAGTGACGATTGATGACTATTAGTCAATAATGGCTATAATAATTGGTGACTAATGGTCATTCATGACTATTAGCGACTATGTGAGTGACGATTGATGACTATTTGTGACTATTAGTGACGATCGGTTGGACACCTCATGAAGTGACTCTCTTCCTCTTGTTGCGACGGTGTCTTCTGTGATGGAGCCTGCGCAAATCTGGGTTTCGGCAAAATCGGCCTTAACGGGTGGGATGGGATCATTGGGAGGGCCCTTCCTTTCTGCTTCCCTGGAAAAACACGCACCGACCACCCCTCTGAGCATCAGGTTCCGCAGGCACCTCCCTTTTGGGGGCAAAGGGTCTTCTTTCGGGCCAAGGCCATCCTACATCGCTGCCAGTGCCGGGGCTAGCATGAACAGCGGAAACACCAAGTGAATCCCGAGAAGGTAGCAGGGGTTCCGCAATTTGCGGGTGCTCTACAAATTCTGCCCTCCCGCTTTCTCCCTGCAAATTAGGGGCCATCTCCACGCGTGGCCGTCCTTTTCCAATTCTTCAACCTACCGAACATCAACCTAGGAGCGCTTTGGCAAGATAGATAGAACTGACTGGATAGAGTCCATGGTTTTGCCAAGCTGACCTTAAGGACACTTCCCCATTTACGCGAAGCTGGGACTCCGGCGCGCGTGCGGATTGCACGCCCTCTTTGCGCGTGCCTCAAGGTTCAAGCATCCGGTGAGAGAAAGCGTGACTGTGTCTCGAGGTTCCCCAATGCATCACAACTTGAATGGAGAGGCTGTCATCAATGCCCTCGGGCACACAACAAATCGTATTGCTCCAAAAGCATTCCTACTGCCCTTGCCGAGAATGCTTTCCCTAAAGACATGCTGTAGTCAATGGATAAGCTTGTCACAGAACGGACCACACAATATGAGATCAAACGCGGGTCACTTAGGTCGGGGGGTGAGGGTTGGGGTGGAGGTCAAGTACCGCGGGTACTGCGCCGCTGCCCGCAAGTGCGAAGGCTCAGGACATCGAAGTGGGCGCACATGTGCTTGCCCAATTCCCACGACAGGTTGGCCTCGGCCGAAAAAATGTCCTTCAGCTTGCCCACGCGAGTCAGGAAGAGGAAAATGGCAGCAGAAGAGGTCTTTCCGAACAGGCCCACAGTGAGCGTGCAAGGCCCCGAAGCGTGCATGGCCAGGCAGGATATGAGCCATCCGCGACCAGGCGGGTAAAGGACAGCAGCACAGCGTCCAGAGCCCGGATGCGTGGGGGTTGGGGGTTGAGGAGTGCGGGGATTGGGGGGGTTTGCCGGGTTCTTGGTTGGAGTCGTTTCATTGGGCGAAGATCCATCCAGGGACCCTTGCACGGGACGACATATTTATCCGCTTCCAGTCACAGAGTTGCTCCCAAGGGGCCCTCGGAGAGCAATTTGACACATTAAGCAAAAAAATGGTCCATGTTCGAAACGATCTCTGCTCGTCAAGTCTGCGATGAGCAAATAATTCAGGTCAACTGAAGGTGGCAATGGAGGAGATTGGTACTGGAAAAAGCGGTGTCGCGAGCTACCCCTGACCTGGTGGTTGCCAATTTGAACATGTGTGTCCTTTGGGTGATGCTTCCAAAGGAAATGGTTGTTCGCCCCTCAACGTGGCAACCCTTTGAAAAGCTGGATTCCCCGTGGGCTTCTTGAAAGTCACCCGCTAAAAAAGGGCATCCTCAACAAGAAAACACATTCTTGAATTTGTTACCCCTTAACCAGAAGGACATCCAGCAAAAGGCGTTCGAACGTTTGCCAAAACGAAAAGGTATTCTGGTCTAGTGGAGGAAGTCGCACGGCAAGGCTGCAGCTCCGGAACTCGAGGGATGAGATTAACAAATTTAGGTGGCAGCCGCTCACGCAACTGCACCAAGCTTGCTTTGCCTCGTCATGTTTTGGAAACGGATTGGCATCTGTCCAAGAGGTAAGACTTTTGAAAATCCAGGCGTGCAAAACCAGGGAAATAGATGACCATAATGAACAAATCAAAGCTTGTGTTGGGCAATCATACGTCTGTTCCAAGGCAATCTCAAAGGGACAAACCCTCACGTGCCTTTTGGAACCTTGACTTCAAATACACCAACATCAGGCTGAACTTCTCCCCTTCAACGGTTGCACTGTTTCTTTTTTGTCCCCAATCACAAAAGTGTCTTTGATTCGGGTGCATATTTTGTGAACCTTATACACAACCTTGCAGAACCCTAGCCGGAACCCAAGGCCAATTCGCTTCAAAGACTGATGCTAAGCGATCAGACATGCGATGCGTTTGGGGATGCTGTCCTTTATTGCGTCAACCCTAGTATGATTCAATATCAGGTAAAACCAACAAATACTCGCCCTATTTCCACAAACCGCTAAGAAATGGACAACCCAAACGGATAGGGAATATACGAGCCTGGTACTAGCACTTCCGTTGCTCGCACGGAGCCTCTTAGTATTGGCCCGATTCTAAAAAAAGAACGGTGGGTGAAGAGCATGGGGAGTGAACGTTTACAGATTTGGGATCTCGGCCGAGGGTGTGAGCGGCTTGGATTGCTTGAGTCGCAACCCTGACAGGTCTCTGACAGCGACCACACAAACAACCCAAATAAAAGATACTGTAGATGTTACAAAACCCACCACAGTTGTTTGTCCATGCGCTTGGGAGTGAAGTGTATGATTCAAAAATCAGGGCTGGCTTTTAGTCAAGTCCATGCGGCCGTCCATGATCACCGCTTCCTTTTTCGGCAAACAAAGCAAACATGACCTTTAGCCAAAATGGAGGAGTCATGCCATCTACTTTCATCCAACTGGGAGGAAACCAAAGACACCAAATCCTACCAAATTTCTAGGATTCGTATCCAAGGATTCGTATCGAAACTTTCTAGGGGTCCGAGGTCCGACGTTCGTTATCCAGGGACAACTGCCGAACTTGGACATATTTTATAGCTGGCTTGCCTGTGGAAAAAACACGGGGCTACTTAAGAAGGGGGTAACCCTATTTTAACCAAATTATGCTGGGACTTATAACGAGGGCAAATGGGCTGTTTTCTCTTAGAAGCCCTTTTTGTCAGCCCCAAGAAATGGACAATGCCTTGCTTCCGCAGCTGTTCCCCCTTCAAATGTGAAACAGGGCCAACAAGATCCTAGATCGATGGAAACTGAGGGCCCGTCTCTCAATGAGCGATTGCGTCTTGGCCTTGGCTCAGTGAAGTTGTCTTGCATTTGAAGCTGGGCAAAGACAGGTTCTGAACTCTAATGCCCTAGATGTCAAAGTTCAAACTCGTCGCAACCGCGGTCTTCTTCTTAGTGCCCAAGTTACGCCAAACTGTTGCTTGCATTTTGATTGACCACTTCGAAGTGGTCTTCTCAAGACCACGAAACAGCTGGGAACCCATTGAGAGGCGTCCCTGACGATGGTGTTCGATGCTCTCCGGTTGACAAATCCTGGGGCCAGGCCCGCGCTGCGCCAGGGGCAGGCTTCGCCAATGTGGGGGGGGTGGGATGTTTCAACTTGGACGAGGAAGATATGCTCGAGAAAACAAGCACGGCAGCCTCAAGCGATTCCGTAAATCTGCCCATTTGACAACTTTTACATGGTGAAACTCAGAGCCTCTGCTCAATTCCAGGTGAAAATCAGGACAATTGGAAACACCCTCACATTTTGGCAAACCCCTCACATGTTCGCTCGCTCCCCTAGCCGTCGCCTTGGTTTTTAAACAGCAGACCCGCTTCATGGCCAGGGTTGAGCAAGGCATTGGATCAAAGAACCACACCCTATATGTGTTGCGTTTACCGCTAAAACGATCCTAAGTCCATTGACTGGAGCAAAGAGTTGAGGAGGTGCTCGGCTACTCAGCAGGTGGCACCTGGTTTTCGTAGGCCACCGAACCATGGAATCGGGTAAACCTGCAGAGGCCAAGCCTCTCTCTCTCCGGTCTCAGAGTCTCAGGGTCCGGGCGTGGTTCAGCGTCACCAGCTCCATGCGGCTCACCTGGCGGAGGGCGCCGCTTTCGGAACGGAAGGAACCTGAACACCTGTGGGCGGAAAAGGGAACGGATGTCCATATGGAGGTTCAGCACTCCAGGACCCTTACTCCCCTGCGAAGCAAATTACGATTTTACGATTTGTGCCAACATCAGAGTCCGCTAACAAGGAAAATTTTTGCGGGGCTCCATCTGCCCATGCGAACACCCTTTATTTGGATCCAAGTCTTATTTCGGATTACGAATTTCAGATTTGGGCTTAGGATATTTTCGGATTATAGTAGCGGTTATTGTAGGCTATTTGGGATAGGTCCATCACCATCCCCACAGGGTGGTTTGACCATGGCACGTATGGGCGCCTTTCCCCTTGCCTTTGAAGCCTGCGCGGCTTCAGCTTCAGAGAAATCCCACCTCCAAGGTGGTGAGCCTCGTCAGGATCTTCCTCGCAAGGCTAGCGTCAAAGTCGTCAACGCAAGTCGTGGTCTACCAGCGGGCTTGTGAAGGAGGGGGGGTTGTCCAACCTAGGCGGTGGGTTTGCTTGCTTGATTTTGTGCTCCTGATAACATGGTTCTGTCCTTGCTTTTTCGGTTTGGTTGGATCTGTTTTGAGCCGCCCTGACAAAGTGTCATCACTTCATCACTCAAAAAGGTTCTCCAACTTGTGAGCCATCCTCGAATCCACGTGCCAACACCAGGTGGAACTTGTCTTTTGAAACCTCAACATGTCTGCCCCCAACAAAAAAGCTCGCCCCAAAAACAAGTCCTTTCGGGGAAAGTAACATCGATGAAGATTCACAACACCGAACCTTGCCATGAGTTGGGCGCCGCGGCGCCCCCGTGTTCGCATCCGCAAAAAAAAAAACAGAGCGTCATGCGCCTGACAACACCTCGTGAAACCCATTCGGGGCCAGTCCCTATGCTCGCCTGCCCAAAGGATCTGGGCGAAACATGATCGCCTTTTGGAACCTCGATGCAAAATGGCAAATGTCGAGGACATGGGAGAACCAAATGATGAAAAAAGGTCAAGCCAAACAGCCAACACAACAAAGCAAACAAAAACCCAAACAAGCCAAACATGCTAAACATGAAGGAACTCAACACACACGACGCAGAACAATCCCAAAGAACCCCCCAACAAATATCAGTCACTTCTCAGACGGACGTCTCGGCCCCCCCGCGGCGGTGCATCGGAGCCCGAGCTGGAGCTCTCGGAGCACTCGGAGTCCGAGCCTGACCGAGCGAGCCGCAGGCCGACCGCAGGCCGACCGCAAACTGAAGGACGGGGAAGGAAGTGGGAAGGAAGGGGGAGGAGGAGGCAGGAGGATGAAGGAGAGTCCGAGGAGGGAGAGGGAGGAGGAAGAAAGGAGGGAGGGAGGAGGGAGGGAGGGAGGAGGTTCCTCTGCCCCAAAAGCGCTCTTACCTTCCTGGAAGCAGTTCGAAGAACTTTTCTGGGCTTGAAGTGAAACAAATGATCGGCGGCGGGGGGGTTCAAGGGTGCGCTGGTTGGAAACAAGCTGTGGAGAGGGGAAGGCTTAAGAGTCTTGGACACCATTTACAGCGGCGGTTCCAAGCATCTGGGCCAACAACATGCTTCCCCAACCCGGTGCCGCTATGAATGAGTGATACATGGGGAGGCTCCCTTTGGCTGGGCGGTGGACTCACAAATTCAAGAGGATCGTGTTCAAGCCAGCATCGCCACTCGTTCAAAATGCTTGAGCGGAGTCAAAGGCTCGCCTTTGGGTCCCACTAAAAATATCGACACGTTCCAGGCCAAAGCACAAAGGTTAAGCCTCATCATGCTTGCCCAAGCCTGTGATGATTGGTTGCGGGGCGAATGAAGAGACAATCCACCGGCAACGCCCTGATGATACAACACGGTTCATTTACCCACCCAGGGCACTAGGGTAAACCATAGGACCTGTATCGAAAGGGGCCCCCTCAGTGGATAGTCTGCCCCCCCTTCTGCCTCATTTCTGGCAGGGGTACCATCTGAAAGGTCTCGTGTCCGTTTCTTTCTACATCCCTACCAAAGAAAGGTCCTCGGTTTCGGCACGCCAAGTGTGTTTGCCAAGGATAGGCATTTTCCAACTTGACTTCCCTTCAGACCAACTCTTTTCTAGTTGCTTCCCTTTGCAAAAAAAAAACGCCGAATGTGCCATTTGGCTTCTCTTTAACCAAAAAAAAGCGGCGACTTTCCCCTGGCCGCCCCTTTGCAGCACCGAACCCGGAAACCGAGCCCAGGGCCCGGATCCGGGTTCATCTGCACATCGTAGCCCGTGAAGGGCGCCGACCTCCGGTGAACCACTCGGCGGTTTTTTGTCACAGGCGAACCCAACGAAAAAGCCAGCAGCTGGTCGTTTCCTCTTCGGAACCCCTGCCTTCTTTTTTTTGTTCTCTGGAATGATACATCCAGGTTTACTGGATGGTGTTCTTCACTTGGGTTTGTCTCAAAATATGAATGTCCTTTTTGGATGGTTTTGAAGGGAAAGCAGAAGGAAACAAATTATCTGGAGGGTCCTTAATTGTAAAAAAACCCATTTGGTTTCGCCATTCCCTTTCAAAAGTCTAGAGGTTGGGGTATTCCTTCTTTCCAGGGCACCTCCCCTGAAGAGATGACTGCCGGCTGCCGGGCAGTATTGACATGTATTCGTCAGGTGCCGTCCTTGACGGTCTTCCCCCGCAAACACCATGGAAAACGGCAGCCCTCAACTGTGGTCCTTGTTGGACGGAGATGTGAATTCCAACTTCTTAGGTGCCAGGGTGAAGACTCTGGTGGGGGGGGGTCCAGTTCTTCTCGCGGAGTGTTTTTGTATGAGGGGTTGATTCCAGGGACCCGGTTTAATGGGGATTGTTGAGTGGTTTCCGATGCAAAGGACAAAGCATGATAGGTTGTTTTCGTTCCCTTAACCCACCATTGAAAAAAGAAGAAGAGAGAGGTTTTTTAAGGGTGCGTTTGTTTTTTCCTCGTTTAAAGGATTCCCTGGTTTCTGCAGGGGCGTATCAATGAGGTTGCAATAATGTCCTACTGGTTGACTCTGTTTCCATTCTTGTTTGAACCATCGTTCTTTTCAAAAAAACACGGCCGTTTGCCCAAGGTGCTTATTTACCCTTTTTGCTGGAAAGACGGAGCTGAAGTTACCCTAGGTTTCACAATGTCATTGCATTTCTCACCCAAAACTTGCACCGTGTAACTGCAATGGCCATGACGCTGCAATCTGGGCAAAGTCCTATCATTTTATGAGATCTCCATCAAAGAAACCATCATCATGGATGACGTCAACTTCCAAACCGGGAAACTCAATCAGGGAATCAGGGACCCTCACCCAAGCCGCCTGGCCATCATTTTTGGGAGGAGGGGTGGTTGGTGGTTGGTGCAGTGCCTGATGCACAAACCCTGGTGAGCTCTTTAACCCCTGGTGAGCTGGTATGGTTCCTGTGGAATCCCAAAGTCCATGACCCATGGGAACCCCCCGCACGGCTGCAAACGTTGCAAGTGTGTTCGAGTTCCAGCCACCATGGAAAAAAAGAAGACAACAGCTTGAACCTCTATAGAGGACAACAAGTTGAACCTATAGTAGTTGGGGTTTGGGAGTAGGAATAAGCAGGGGCTGCTGGATTGCTCTTGGTTGCTTGCATTGCTCAGGCCTCCAGCTGCCACTCGGCAAAGGGGCTCCCCTTGTTTGGTAGCTGACTTTAAGGTAACCCCTTGCCAGCGCCAGAAAGACCCAGGCAGAACCTGCGCTCGTCTCCAAGCGGCGAAAATCTGGAGCGGGTCATGCTGGGCATGAGCTCGATCTCCTTTGCCGGGTCGAAGTGGGACTGTGTCCAAAAGCTCGGACAAATATGTACGCATCCTACTGTCGGCCCAAAGGTCTTGAAACATTGGCACGAATGTCACACGGAAGAACAGGCCGTTAAGCCTTTCCCTGGAACATTGAAGCTGAACACTGCTTGAAATCCCTTTCTTTTACAATGCGTCGTGCTGTAACCACTAAACTGTAATATTAGGTGTCTGCCATTGGGCACGCCGTGTTCCGGCCGTCGAGGAATTCAACCAGGCCAAACATGGTGAGAGCCACGCGTTGCTCAGCCCACAAACGGAGAGCAGACTGAGCGTCCCGCATCCGGAGTCTCTGCCGTTCGCTGGAAGAAGGTCATAGGATGGGTTGCCTGCCGCGAAACACAAACGCCTACCCTCCATGGCTGATTCAGGGAACCCCTTTCGATTTCAGGAGCCCCCTTTCGAACTGAGAAAAGAACATCTGACAATAGAAGCTGGGCCTGTTTTCCAGCTTTAGTTGCGCAACTATTCCCCAACCGTCAAAAAGTTGGTGTTTGAATCCCAACTCGTTGTTCAGAGACTCCCGCTGTGAGTGTCACCGAAAGTGAAAGGGCCGAAGCACACCCCATGTTTTCCCAACACACTTTCAAACGCGCCTCGGTAACAGATTTAGGAACTAAACAAATAGAAGGACACAGCTATGTAGTTTGGTCGGTCTGTCGAATTTGGCTAGGACCCCATAGGCTGTCGGCGTTCGGGAAAACTAGGCCCAAGAAGTATTTTTCCCACATTCTCCCCGAAACGTCTCCGCAACTTTCCCGGAACCGCCCGGGAACTACACGTCCCCCCTGCCCGGCCGTGAGGCTCAAGCGCTCCCCCAGCTGCTCAATCCTGGTGCTCGGAGGAACACAGCGGGGCGAAAGGCAATTCCGGCTTTAGAAGAAAAGAATAGCAACAGTAGAGGGGGGTCTTAGAAATAAGGGCCCTCGTCAAAGGGCGAAAGCTTTGAAAATGGCGAGTGTTTCCCAACGGCTGCTTTTCCAGACATGACTGAAACCACAAGTACTGTCCAAAACGCAATCATTCAACAACTATTCGCGAGTCCAGCATGGAACAAAAGGGGCAGCCTGTTTTCGGCATGCTGATTTTAAGACTAAACCCCTCCGAAATCTGGGGAAAAGGGTACCACTGGAAGTCTTGGCACCGCCCAGGGCCCTACAATCCCCCTCCCCACCAACCATGAGGTATTTGTCAGGCTGCAGGTTCGGCCTTCTTTCCTCCAAATAGTAAGGCTAAATAGCCGTAGCCCAGTAGCCCATGGGAGTCTTTAAGGGGTTGTAGACGTTGGCCCCTGTGTGCTCCCTCTCTCTCTCTGCCTCTCTCTGTCTCTCTCTCTCTCTCTCTCTCTCTCTCTTTCTCCCTTCGCCTTGGCTGCCGGTTGTGAAATTTCACCACCGCCTCGCGGGACAGCCATGGAAGATCGACCTCTGTGACAGTCCTGGGCCCACATTCCCTCTCTGCAAACCCGTTCAAACGACCAAATACCTGCCGTGTTTGATCATTCCAACCTCTGACCCTCCAACTTTCAACGGATATCGTTTGCTGGGCTCGTCTCAGGGAGTTCCGTCCTTCGCCGCCAGAAAGTGACAACCAAAACTCCAACTTAAGCCAACGAATGGAAGCTGGCACCCCAACCCCAGGTCCTCCATACAAAACCCCCGCACCCTTGATAGCATGATCCTTGGAAGCCGTCATCACGCGCGAAGCCCAGCCTCGTCCGAATTCTTCGGGAAGAATTCGTAGCGCGCTTGGCGTGCAACAGCCTTGGCTCAGGGCTCACTAAAGTGACATCCTCGAAGCTACCCTCTCAATGGTCGTCTAAAGGGAAACAAATAATGCTTAACACCCCACAAAATGTCCGGGGTCATGAGCCCAGCCCTACACGCATCAAACTCCCCTGCTGTGACGGTTCAGGCACAACCATGGCTGCCTAATGATGAAGGGTGGCAGCAGACCACAAGAGCTGCCACCCCAGCAACACCTCCGGCAGCACTTGGCCAGGGTGGGCGGGCAAAAGTCGTGTGACACCCTGTGAACACTGTCTGGCCACAGGCGCTGGGCACGTACACGCTTTTGGCCTAGCGTCCATACCACGAGGTTTTGCAAACCCTTGCCTGAAGACAGTCTGGCAGGATTGCTGCAGATTGAGCCAGGCGCTCAATGACAACCAGGTGAGCAGCAGCAGCAGCAGCAGCAGCAGCAGCAGCAGCAGCAGCAGCAGCAGCAGCGGCAGCAGCGGCAGCAGCAGCAATGGCTACCCAAAGGGAGAAAACACAAGCACTTTTTTAGGTCGAAGTCATTCTCAGTATGGGAAAGAGCTTGCAGTACATCTGATGCCGAGGCCTGGCACTGACATCCCAAATGACAAGCGCACAGCAGCTAAGCTGAATAAGGCAAATTCCTTCGACTCAGCTGCCATTGAAAAATAATATAGAGAGAGGAGAGAGATATAGATGTGTGCATGCTGTGTTGGGAACCCATTTCAGGTTGGTGTTGTGTGGAAGCTACCACAGGCCCAGACCTTCCCATGCGCCAAAAGGCAGGGTTGTCCTCAAAAGGCTCCACTTATGGAACGTTGCGTCTATCCATGCGAAGTTCGATGCACTCTCCGCAACCCTCACAAGCCTTCAACTAAGTCCTCCGGCCCGTTTCGGAGAGGTCGTCATGGTACCGAACTGGCACAAAGCGAAGACAGAAACAAAGGGACGGGGAAATGGAGGGGGGTCAGACCAATGCTTCTTGCGGGTGTGTTGTGGGTTGTCCCCCCTTTCTTCTTCCAAAACAAGCACTAGACCACCAACGATACTATCGGTTGCTCATACGTCCCCCATTGATCCTCCCCCACCAAAAAAGACAATCATAAAACACCGGCAAACTTCGCAAATGCAGAAGGTAGGCCCCATCTTGTTGGAAAGACTAGGGTGCCTACCCTGAGGCACGCATTGCGAAGCCCACTGAAGGCTGGAAAGCGGTAATGACACCGAAAATTGCAACAGGCGTGGAAAGTAGGATTCGATCCCTTTCCTTAGCTTACTGCGAGGCAGTGCCAGAACTCATTGCCTCAAACCACCAAGAGGCAGTGCAACTTTGACGAATACCCTCCCACAAACATAAAAGTGCACACGCTCTCTTCTCCTTAAGTGGGAAGGCTTGACCGTGCACCAAGCCACCGTGCTTTGTCAAAACAAGACATGGTCAGACAGCCATATTGACCCACATGTCCTGCCGAACAAAATGCAGACTCTGGATTGGTAATTTGGGTTGGTGGTTTGGAGGTGAGGGGCAGTTTTCTAGTTACGCAAAAACAAGGGAATCAACCGGCAGGGCTCAATTCCACATCACCTGTGGCTTTAGCATCACCCTTTTGAAAGCCTACCCTGATTTGCACATCTTGACAATTTCGCTCTGATAAAGTGTGAAGCCCTTCCCACCTGTTTGGGCCTGAACTGCTTCGGCCTTGCCCGGCCATTTTGGCCTATGGGAAGCAGGGCTGCTCAAAAGCCCCGATCGGCTCAAGGCCACCCTTGTGCCTTGCTCATGTTGAGGCTCGGGAGCAACCCTTTGGAAAAGAATAGGGATCCCCTCATACTGTGGATGGACGAAATCCTGCGCCAATTTGAAACCATGGGACAGCATTGTTGGCATTTACAGGGGAGTCATCATTCCAGGGTTTCTTAGGTGGTGCAGGATTTTGTCCATCCACAGTAGTGAAGAAACCCTGGCGACCCCTGTAATTTCCATACGGGGTTCAAACACCAGGACCAAGAGTCAACAGCTGCCTTGTCCCATCAACAGGAAGGCATTTGTGGCCTTCGGTGGTGTTGAAGGTTTTCCCCGATTAACATGAAACGCAACCCATTCAAGGGGGTCCCTCTCAAAAACATGTGTTTATTAAGCTCCATGTGAAACAACAAGCGATTCGCTTGCGCCTCGTCCACATTCTCGAAAAGGGCCTGCAGCACAGCAACAGCCAACAGTTGACCAGCAGAGACGCCCCGTTTTGGGATCCATTCCAAGAAGCAATGTACATGGCTACCTTTTGGCCACGTCCCTTGAACAAAACAAGTTGGACTCCGACTTGAAGGATATTCGTTTCTGGGCTGTCTTTAGCTTAGAAAAGCAAAGGCCATGAGGAGGCCCAATCAAAACAAGGCCCGAGGATTGCCTTTGGGCAGCGCGAGTGCCAGTCAGCGACTTCATTGCTGGGCAACTTTACACACAAGCAACCAACGACCAGAAAGCGCGACTGCAATTTTGTCCGATGCTGAGCAACAACGGCACGGTTCACAATACATCCTGTCCAAATGACTCCTCCAACAAGGAAGTGTAACCTGCAGTGAAACGGCCTACCCAAAACCTATGGTAAAGAATCAAAAGGTGGAGTGTGCTGCAATCTTTTTGGGCAAGGAAACTGCCTGTCAACCTTCACCTGTCGGGGACCCTACCAACCCCCACTAGACTCCCCAACCATCACAGCCTTACCTTGCCACAAGCTTGGCCTAATCTCCCCAGTCCTTGCGGGCATTCCGGGATCTGCGCGAATCCGTTTGAGCTTAACTGGGAGTTTCTGCAGTTTTGGTAGAATCCACCCCCCCCCCTTGCACCAATAAGGCCCTGTTGAGACCTCAATAAGACTGTCTGCTGGGGTCGTATTTTGAGGGAGTGGTGGTGGAGAACTCCCCTTTGGCCGTCTTCCGTTTCTATTTGGCTCTTAGGCACGTACCTTCAACGGCTCCAAGCACATTTGTCCCCTGCCATCAGAATCAAAGAAAGTCACACCCCCATGAAACTCCAAACTCCTCTTGAGGGGAATCTCCCTTTGGGGGGGCCTTTCGGGCTCCATGTTTTGCAGGGGAGCATCCGGGAAAAGGCTTCGCGCCGCGCCTGTGCGGAGGATTGCTGTCCCGTGGCGAGCCTGCCATCCAAGCGGGGCGCGGGAAGCTTTGGGTCTCCCGTCGCTTCCGGGGAGTCAACGAAGAATCCGGATCCCAACTTGAATGAATCAACCAGGGGCTTAGTGATCCTGGAGTCCAGAAGGAAGCTTTTACACAACATGAGGAAGGTTCAAACACAGTTCAGACAGCCTGTTGCAACCTAGCAAATGGCAAAATAGGTCACCATCTCGACAAAAGGGGTCTCCAAAACAAGCACCTTAGGAGTGGACTTGTCAGAAATTGTAAATATTCACTGTGCCACAACATGACACTATGAGTGGTACCACCATCTTCTGGTGACAACCCAGAATTCGCGTGTTGAGCAGCATCCCCTGCACGGTGTCTCCTTGCGTTTAATCATTCGGATGTCGGTGAATTCCCGTGCCCTGCAACAAAATGGAGTTGGATTTCTAGATCCATGTGTCCTTTTGCAGGGAAGGCCAGAAATGGAGTGGAGGGACCGCCAACCTCTCCCCCAAGCTAAGTACTTGTAGGGGAGATGTCGGCGGTTCAGCGGGAGTTGATCACCTCACGCTGCTTAGGACTCGCAAATCATTCGATGTGAAGGGTTGCTCAATCAAAGGCAGCTCGGTCTGTGTCTGCTTCTTTCCTGATCACTAAATCTTGCAAGGTACCCCACCACACCGTCTTTTTCCCACTTTTTTTCCGTCACCAAAAGCGCAGAACCCCTTCCCCCGCCCTGCAGGGCCCCCAGGGGGCCGCGCTGTTCCGGCTTCACCGGCAGCTGCCCATCCAGCGGCTGGGGCATGCACTTGCCGCACCTCGGATCGATCGCTTGGTCGCTTTGTGGCAGTGCTGCTGGGGACGGGGGGGGGAGGGGGGGAGGGCGAGGGGGGGGAGGGGGGGAGGGGGGAGGGGGGGGAGGAGGGGCATCCAATCAAAGCCATGTCTAGGTGTTGGGATTGCTTATGCAGGTATAGTATATCTGTGTACACACATAGGTCTTGCCGGTATGTACACCCGACTTGTCCAGAACCCATCGCTCGATATGCCCTTGACTGAACACCGTTGGAACGCAATCCGGGAGCCCGCGTGTCATGGGTAAGAAGTAAGCTGAACACGGAGTTTACAAGGCTCTAGGGGATTGCAAGGTGTAGATAAGTGGCGCCTCTAAGGCGCCGGATAGACCCGCTTGGACAACGATCCTGGGATCTTCATTGTCAAGGGGCTCCCCAGAACCTCTATTGCCACGTACCGCTTTTGGGGGGACTAAAATGAAACTGCCTGACACATGGGCAATATGATTGCGCCAAAAGAACATACAAGAATTGGAATGTCCCATCCACTGGTGTTTGTCTGTCCCCCCTTTCCGTCCCACAAACCAAGAGTAGACTACCATTTGGTCAAATGCTGGAAAGTTGTTCACCCAGATTGAAGAAGGGCATATGGATGCCCGGCATATTACGTTACAAGAAAACCAACCACACCCAACCCCAAAGCCATGCTAATTCGTAGATTTGGATGAGGGGGGTTCCTAGCTCCCATAGTTGCAATATGTTTGGCATCCACCGTATCCCCAAACGTGAAGGATCCCGAGGGATCTGTTCATCCTGGGTGTACTGATGCAGGCGGTGTTTTCAGCACCCCACAAATCGAACAGATCTTTCCATAAAGGCAATCTGATCAAAGAACCAACATCTTCTTCAACCAGACCCTGGCCCCCAAGATAGACCAAACAGATGTTTGGGTAAGCAAAGACTTGCTGTTTCAGCATGTGTTTCAACAGGCCTGGCCCCACCCTGACTGAAACCTCGTTGCCTTTCCGGTGCTAAGGGGGGGGCCCTTACGTTGGAAACCAGCTAGTTCTCTCGACCGCGCTCTTCCCGTCAAGTGAACTGCTCCGATACAAAGACCTCAGACCCTGCCAGCCCGGGCCATCACACCACGGGTTGGTAGGCATCAGCTCCAGGTGCCGCAGCGGCCTCGATGTTCATCGAGCGACGAAAGAGCGAGAGACCCGAGCCCACCGTGGCGTAAAACGGCCAGAACTGAGGGGAGAAGAAAAAACGGAAAGCAAGAGCGGTGATCCGACTATGTTGAATATGAGCCGCGGACAAGATTCAGCAGCTGTTCCCCCAGTAACATTGGAGTTTGGCGAGTACCCTGACCACAAGAAGGAAATATCCATGTGCCTAGAAGCAGATAAGACAAGAATCACCCCAAAGACCATCGGCTCAAGCGCCAGCTCAACGCGCCTCGCTGACATAGGCGTGCCGCTGCTGTGGCGGCTTCTCCGAGACCTCACCGGTTCCGTTGGAAGACTCCCGCAATCCGACGTGCTGCAATAGTTCCAAAGCTGAAATGAGAGGTCCTCAAGTGAAGCACCTACATGATGGCATGATGAGCTTGCGATACCTCTGCGTGCGCTGTAACACGGGCATCTTTAATAGGTGGGCGTGGTAATTCGCCTGGGCCCCGCAAGCTGAGTTCCCTTTAAAAGCGGTCAAATTCCCCTTCAGAACCGGTCAAATCCCCCCCCCAAAAACCGTAGAAACCGGTCAAACTCCCCTCTAGAAACCTGTCAAGTTCCAACAAAAACACTTCGCTTGACCCGAGGCGGGCAACGCGAAGCGTTGTGGCCATGGGAACAAAAGGGGCTCTTGTTTTGGTTGAGTTTGAAGAGAACACCCCTCCCCAAAAAAGGGAGAAGAACCCCATCCAAGGCTGAAAGGGGATTCTTTCTCAAGGGACCTTCATGCGATCTGGAATCGTCCAGGACGTTCATGGGGTGGGTCTGGGTGAACCAGGGACCTTTTTGGAGTCAAATGGGAAGCGAAGACGAATAAACCCCTTAATAGGATGGATGCCGGGGGAAAGGTAGCGGGTACAGACCGGTCGTCAAAAGTCTAGAGGAAAGGGATGAACTTGGGGGAAACACCCTCTATTGATCTTTATGGATCCGGCAACAATATCTGTGCCCCAAATTCCATCTGCCTGAATGTAACCAAGTGGTTTTCCACACAAAACAACAAGAACAATGGCGAAGGGTTATCTACCGGTGAGGGTTTGGGAAACAAAGCGCAAGAGGGTTTGGGTGACGTTGCTTGCTTGCCACCGGCGGAAGAATGGTCCCGCAACTCCGCTCCGCGTCTTCAGCGTCTCCGCGAAGCTGGCCGCGGCCTTGGCGGACGCCTCCCGAGCCCGCGCCAAGTTTGGCTTCGAGCGCGGCATTTGTTTCCTCGAGGAAGCCCATGCCGTCGCTGAGGATCTTCGGATCATGCCCGAGTTTCAGGATCAAGAGAGCCGCCTTCTACATCCTCCAGCAAAATCAAGTAGTGTTGACCTTTGACTAGTGAACACTTGATGTTTTTTTGCTGCACGGATTGCTTAAAATTGAGAAAGCCCTACAAGCAAGCAAGGGACCTTCATGCAGAGAAGTCGCTCGGGTAAGCTCGCTATAACTGTTGAGGCCACTGTCAATGCTCACTTGGCCCAACATGAGGTTTTGGTGAGGTGCAGCGTCCCGACCCTTAGGAGGGTAGGGCAAACTCATAAAGATTAACAATGGTTAACAACCCTGGTGCCAATCTCCCGTTTGGGGAACAAATCACAGGCCTAGATGCAAGGATACTAACCACTTGCCTACCAAATCAAGTGATCCCCTTTGGGCTGGGAGAAGGGAGGCTTACGGACCCCGAATCCCCAGACTCTCCCTTGGAGGGGTCTAAAACCATCCATGTAAAAGATCACAGACGCTGAACTGCTCAATCCCAAAGCTTAAAAGGAATACTTTGGCCGAAGTCTATATTCGCGTTGGAAACCACTACCAGGCTACGCTTCCAACCCGCCTTGAAAGCTAATCCACTGTGTGTGTGTATATATCTATATATGTGTATATATATATATAGTAGCATCAAGAGCACATTTCTGCAGTACCCCTGAAAACAATCCCTCGCTCCAAAAGCGAAGGCTCCCCGCCTCACGGAGTCCGCCTCGGAGCGGCTGGTGGGCGAAGGCATCAGCGCTATGCCCGCGCCTTTGGTGGGCGACGCAGGCGTCGCGGCCTGGACTTTGCGCCTGGCAGCGTTCCCCGGGGTCGCGGGCCGCGGGGTGGAAAACATGGTGAAACTGTTGGGCCTGGACCGTGGCAAAGACACAAGCCTTGGAAAGGAAGGGGAAAAATGCCCTCAATGCCCTCAAAGTCAAGGCATGGTTGACACCTGTCAAAACGATCTGGGGCTCAAGTCTGGCCCCCTTCGATCAGCCTCTGAGTTGGCATTGGTTCAGTGTGGTTTAGCATTGGTTTACTTTTTTTGGGCGTACAACTGAGCAGAAGTGTAGTGTTTGGTAATAAGCATCGGTGCTCTTCGGTGCCTCTTCAGTCCTCTCTGTTGAGTATGTTTGTTGTTCTATTTATTGGCTTACTTCACTGTGTTCTGATTGAATGTACCAAAGGCTTGGCTGCACTCCCTGGGAAAGGGACGCCCAAACAAAAACCGCCGGTGGTGGCCGCGACACCAAATGAAAGCGCAAAACCTAAGGCACCTTGCGCGGGAGTGTAATTGGACACGGAAATATCAAGGGTCAAACTTTGGGAAACCTCGACTCACGGGACATCCGCCGGCCAGTGGGACTTCGCTGGCAAACCCTTCGCTCGGCTCCGCAGCCCTTCGCAGCCCTGGCCTGAACTCGGCCAACTCCTGTCTCGAGTCGAAGCGTCGTTTCGCAGCTACACCGTTTCGCATCACCCGCTGAAATTCGCAGTCGAAACCCAAGGGGGCGTTGTCCCAACCAGGGGATGTGTGTTGGCCCTCCTTTAGGTGTCCTTTTATTCCAATCGGGTCCCACTAGAAAATGATAAGAGCCCAACTGGAAGTGCCATCTATATTCAGCAGAGTTCCCTCACCCCCAGTTTTTCCCCTACCCTCGTAAAACCTCTGGGAAGCAAACAAAGGACCCCGAACCCGCAGGAAAGTATCATACAAGCTTCTCTCAGAAACGGTTCTGAGAACATGGGATTTCTGATCGAATCGTTCCGGGAAAATGTTTTGGGGGGGGGGGGGTGGCAGGGAAGATTAGGTCCTATGTGGCGTGCGCGCGCGGGATGATTGTTTCCCCCAAAGTGGTACGCGCGGGGGGGATGTTTCCCTCACTCATGATACACACACACACGCGCGCACGCACGCACGCACGCACGCACGCGCGCAAGCACGCACGCACGCACGCACGCACGCAACACACAAGCAGAGAGAGAGAGAGAGAAACTGAGAGCACAAAGGGCACTCAAACAGAGTGTCAAGCAATACACACACACACACACCAAGTACACTAACACAAACAAAACGCCCTTTTTCTTTTTAATTTCGAATCATTCTAGAAACTCCCAAAGGGGCAGGGGACTGTTGGGGAATTCCGAAACAATTTCTTCTAGCTCATTGAAATTTATACTTGTTCTATTTATTACCCAAGGGACGGGCGCGCTCTGGGGAATTCCAGGTGCATTGTCCTAATTCTTACAGCTATTCTGATTATTACATATTTTTCACCAAGGGACGGCTGCCCTTTGGCGAATTCCAGATTCACGTGTTTTCGAATCATTCTACGTGATTTTACATTTATTCGCAAAGGGGCGGGTGCATTTTGGGTCAAATGTGTTCGAGTTAGTCTACTTCTCATAGCAATCATCACTCTCTGATGTATTCCCACAGGAGGGTACCTTTTGGGGAAATCAACATTCATGGTTGATCTAATTATTTTACTCATTCTAACAACTTAAGCAAATCTAAGGATTCTCTTTGTTTTCAAGCCATTTGGTGAAGTCCAGTGTGGTTTCCAGGTCATTCTGCTCTGATTATTCTGGTTGTAGCACGCATTCCCAACGGCACGGGGCCCCTTGTGGGGAATCCGCCCCTAATTAGTTCCTTTGTTCTAGCTATTCCCAATGACTGGTGCCTTTTCGGAAATCCCAATTCCAGATTCATGTGTGTTTCAACTATAGTATTCTAACTAATCAACTTATTCTCATTCTAATCATTCCCAAAGGGGCGGGTGTGTCTTGTGGAATTCAAGATCCATGTTTGCCAGCTATTCTACTTATCATAACTATATTACTTGTTCTAATTATTATAATTCTTCCCAGAGGGACGGGTTGCTTTTGGAGAATTCCAAACCCATCTTTGTCCTACTGTCTTAATTATTGGGTATGCTTCCCCACAAAATTACAATTATTCTCATTTACATACTTATTGCGAAAGGGGCGGGTGCCTTTGGGGGAACTCCAGATTTATGTTTGTGCTAATTATTTGAACTAATCTAAGTATTCTACTTCTTCCAAAAAGTGGGGTGCCTTTTGATGAATTCCAGATTCATGTTTTCTAACTATTCTACTTATCATAACTCTTCTAATTCTCATCATTATTCCCAAAGGGACGGGTGACTTTTGGGGAATTCAAGAGCCCTGATTGCTAAGTATTCTACTTATCATAATCACTCTATATTATTCTAATTGAATCCCTAGGGAGCTGGGGTGCGTCTTGGGGAATTCCAAGCTCGTGTTTGCCCTGGGTAGGATAATTGTGTCAAAAGGGATGGGGCCTGTTGGTGGCGAGATTCGTGGTTCCCGCATTGTTCAAACTATTCGAGCCATTCCCAAATGAGCAGCTCCCATTTAATAAGTTCTAGATTATTTCCCTATTTTCTATTTGGTCCCAAACAGGAAGGTGCCGTTTAGTGAGTTCAAGATTCACGTTCGCTGATTAGTCTACTTATCATCAGTCTTGTAAAATACTACTATCATTATTATTTACAAGGGACGGGCACCTTTGTTGTTCTAGGTACAACAATTACTACACAAGAGGTGGGTGCCTTGTACGTCTTCCCATTATTCTTGTCATTCCCAAAGGGGGGGGGTGCTTGCGAGGAATTCCAGATTCTTGCTTTTTCCAATTCTTTATTCTCCAAATTGGGGAACTTTCAGATTCATTGTTTCTCTAACTACTCTACGTACAATATGTTCTGTTCTTGGGCGTGCCCAAATTATTCCAATTATTCCCAACGGGACGGGTCCCTTTTGAGGAATTCCAGATTCATTTTCTAGTCTAGCACATCTACTCATGAACTTATTATAATCATTCTTCCCAAAGGGACGGGTGCCTTTAGGGAATCTCCAGATTCATGTTTGCTCTAATCTTTCTAGTTATTCTAAATGTTCTGTTGTTTCTTATTATTCCCAAGGGGGCGGGTGCCTTTGAGGAATTGAAGATTCATGTTTTGCATACTAGCCTACTTATCATCGCCATGATTTCTCCATATTCCAAGAGAGGCGTGCGCCTTTTGGGGAATTCCAGGTTCATAGTTGTTTTCTGTTGGTTCTACTTCTGATATATTTTTCTCATGATTATTCTCATTCCCAAAAAGACGGGAATTCCAGGCTCTTGTTTTTGCAACTGGTCATTCCCAAATTTGGGGGAAATTCTGATTCATGGTCTCTCTCTTATTCAACTTCAGGTGTTTTGGAACTACCCGCATTGTCCAAGTATCGCCAACGGGGCAGCCCTTTTGAGGAGTTCCAGATTCATTGTCTGCTACACTAATTCTACTTCTTATGATCAGTCTTCTCAAAGGGACAGGTGCCTTCTGGGAATCTCCAGGTTCATGTGTGTTCGATTATTCTAGTTGTTCTAACTGCTCTAATTGTCTAATTACTCCCACAGGGACGGGTGCCCTTGAAAAATTGAACATTCATGCTTGGGAAATGTTGTCTACTCATCGTAGCTATTATAATGATTATTCTTATTCCCAGAGGGACAGGTGCCTTTTGTTGAGCTCCAGAATCATGCTTGATTTTTCAATGTGTTTAATGATTCTAGTTCTGATAACTGCTCTATTTATTCTTGGCATTCCCAAAGGGACAGGTGCCTGTGGGGAATTCCAGATTCTTGTTTTTCAATTTCTTCATTCCTCAAATTGGGGAATTTCAGACTCATAGTATCTCTAATCCTTCTACTTCAGATATTTTCTGTTTTTGGAAGTACCCGGATTATTTCAATTCTGCCCAACGGGACGGGTCCCTTTTGAGGAATTCCAGATTCAATCTACTCATTCACTTATTATAATCATTCTCCCAAAGGGACGGGTGCTTTAGGGAATCTCCAGATTCACGTTTGCTCTAATCTTTCTAGTTATTCTACATGTTCTGTTGTTTCTTATTATTCCCAAGGGGGCGGGCCTTTGGGGAATTGAAGATTCATGTTTTGCATATTAGCCTACTTATCATCGCCATGATTTTCTCCTTATTCCAAGAGAGGCGGGCGCCTTTGGGGGGATTCCGGTTCATTGCTTTTTTCTATTGATTCTGCTTCTTGTTCTGATCATTCTCATTCCCAAAGGGACGGGAATTCCAGGCTCTTGTTTTTGCAACTGGTCATTCCCAAATTTGCGGACATTTGGGGAAATTCGGATTACTACCCGCGTTTCCAATTATTGCCAACGGGGCGGGTCCCTTCTACTTCTTATGATCAGTCTTCTCAAAGGAACAAGTGCCTTCTGGGAAGGTTCATGTGTGTTCAATTATTCTGGTTATTCTAACTGCTCTAATTTTCTAATTACTCCCACAGGGACGGGTGCCCTTGGGAAATTGAAAATTCATGTTTGGGAAATGTTGTCTACGCATCGTAGATATTATAATGATTATTCTTATTCCGAGAGGGGCAGGTGCCTTTTGTTGAGTTCCAGAATCATGTTTGCTGTTCAATGTTTTTAGTGATTCTACTTCTGATAACTGCTCTATTTATTATTGTCATTCCCAAAGGGACAGGTGCTTGTGGGGAGTTCCAGATTCTTGTTTTTCAATTTCTTCATTCCTCAAATTGGGGAATTTCAGACTCATAGTATCTCTAATCCTTCTACTTCAGATATTTTCTGTTTTTGGAAGTACCCGGATTATTTCAATTCTGCCCAACGGGACGGGTCCCTTTTGAGGAATTCCAGATTCATTTTCTAGTCTAGCGCTACTTATCAACTTGTTATAATCATTCTTCCCACAGGGACGTCGTTCCCAAAGGGACGGGTGCCTTTGTGGAGTTGAAGATTAATGTTTTGCAAATTAGCCTACTTATCATTGCTATTTTTGCTTCTACTTATTCCAAGAGGGGCGGGTGCCGTTTGGGGAATTCCAGGTTCATAGCTTTGCACCTTCTGATAATTGCTCTATGTATCATTCTCATTCCCAAAGGGTAGGGTGCTTTTGGGGAGGTCCAGAGTTCCACATTCATGTTTTCCAAACAATTACTTCCAGGGGGGGGAGAATTCCAGATCCATATTCTTGCTAATGATTGTACTTATCATAATGATTTGATTTAGTCCAATGGTTCCCAACGGGATGGGCCCCTTTCAGGAATTCCAGATCTATTATCTAATCCAATGATTCTCATGGTTCATAATCATGCTAAGTATTCTAATTATTCTCAAAGGGACGGGTGTTTTCTGGGGAGTTAAACGTCAATCGCTTGGTACTTATTCTATTTCTCAACGTGGGTCTAATTAGCCTAATTACACGAATCTTTGAGAATCGTGTCAATATTTGGAAAACAGCACCTTATTTTGTCTAACTATTATAAACCAACATGATTTGAACAACTAGTCTACTTAGAATATGTCTTATAAAACAACATGCTTTCTACTCGAATATGTTCAAAGGGAC